TTATTATTGTGAATAGTAAGAATTCAAGTGACAAACTATGTTTCGATGGTGAAGGAAGAGGACTTTAAAGAGAAAGAAGGTTTGAGTGTCAGCAAATTTTCCTTGTAAGTAATTTCAATAACATATTTTGTTCAAATTTTGAAGAATAATATAAAATTTATTTTGATAGCAAGCAATAGTGTATGATTTTAGAAAGGTCAAAAGCAAATTGGTTGAAGTTTGATTTGGCAAAAAAAAAAATAATGAAAATTAATGAAAATAGTTATGTAATTTTGTATGAGATTTTAGGCTACATTGCAGAAGATTATTTTCAAAGTTTGAGATTTGAAAGGAATTAAAGCTCAAAAGCAATCAAAGTGGATAGATGATGTTATCTTATAAATATTTCAAGATTATATTTTATTCATACAGTCTCCTGATTATTCATTTAATTACAAATGTTTAAAGGTTGGTATATTCATAAGATGCATGATAAAAGTTAGTCATTAAAGTGATATGTAATACATAAAATATGTATATATAAATTTATATACATGGAAAAGAAGAAGAAGAAAAAAAATTAAAAATGTATATTTAATTTTTTTCTAAAAAACATATAAAGACAATCATATGATTGAAATACAACAAAGGTAAAAAATGAAAAGGAAAAGGTATACGCATGCCCCTATAGTACTAGCTGGGGAAGCAACGTACCCGTGCACGTTAAATGAAAATGAAAATGAAAAATGAAATGAAAATGGTTGTACTTTTATTAGTACATTTAGATGGTGCTCCTAGACTAATGGAAATGAAAATAAATTAAATATCAAATTTATTAAAAAAAAATATTAAGTAGAAATGAATAAACGAAACAGAATATGAAATAAATTATGTGAAATTATAAAACCTATAGTATATGAAAGAATATGCATATATTAATTATATAAGAAAGTTGAAGAAAAATGTATGTTTATTTTATAGGACTAACTGTTGTATATTTAATGATGATTACCCAATAATTTTACTTTGTAAACTCATTCTATTAAACTAACATTTTAAGGTAAGTCTCCTGATAAGTGAAAATGGATGAAAAACAAGAGTATGTCTACAGAAGATGGCACCCAAATGAAAACAGGTAATATTTAATTGATATAAAATGTTTAGGTTTGAAAAAAAATGGTATAAGTGGTTTTATGGAAATTATTTTTGTGATAATGGCTCTTCAATTTAATTGAGAAGTTGAATGTTAAATTGTTTATGAAATTGAATGAAATATTACACCCGTCCGACTTTTCATTACTAGCTCATTAATTCGAGTATCCGGGCCGGGTTGTGACACATCAAGTTTAAGTTTTTAGTCAACATGGCCATCATCGAGATATATGAATATTTCATTTTATTATTTGAACCTAGCCAACTTTGTCCGCTTACTAAAAGATGATCGGGTTTGAGTGTTAATTTTTTGAACTATCATATAAAGGATGAACATGAGAGTTTGCACTTTTAATGAATTTCCTTTGCAAAAGACATGGAAAGCCTAATGCAAATGTAAAACTAAATATCAACGTAGATTTGGCAGCAACATATTCATTTACAAGTATAGGATTTGTAATGCCCTGATTGGAATTTATGATTTTGAGAGGAATACATTTTTAATTAATTTCTCATTTTCAACATGTGTAGCATTTTCAAATTACAAATTTAGAAGCTATAGTATTTGGTCATAGTACATGCAGATGTTTTGTATTTAAAAAATGATATGCAAATTTTAAGTAATTGAGTGATTATGTATTTTTTAAAATCATGAGAGATTTAGTTCACTTTATTTTTAATGCGCACAGTATCTCAAACCTCAAAATTAGGGGTTCAATGTACCAATCAGAGCACATACGGATATATTAATTTTAATGGTTGATGTGTTGAGCACATTTTTTATGCATTTGTCTGGTGTATTTACACATTTCATGATGCATTTATGAAGTTCACTTATACATTTCTTGATATACTTACATGACATATTTACTAGTATATTAATGAACTTACATGATGTACATACATACTTGCATGATTTTGATGCCCTTGCATAGTGCGTCAACATGTTTATTAGTACGCATACACTATACATTTTAGAGGGTGGATGGATAAAATTGCATCTAGTGATTTGACGCATCTCGCACACTGTCGAAATAATTGTGTGACATGTGACACACAATAGTGCACTACTTTGACTCATTTGAAAAATATGTATATGGGGTTTGGTGTTTGTTCACAAAGCATATTGTTGATTCAAGAGATTTGTACGAGCTTTCTTTTTAATAATTAATATGCATGACATTTAGGGTGCTCATGCAACTCATGATGTGTAACAAGTTTGACCAAATTCAAACATTGCATCATTGCATCTAAGTCTTTTTCTATTATTTTCAAACAATCTATCTATAGAACTTTGACTCCCACCTTTACGAAAAATTCACATTGAGTTGAGAGAAGAGTCCTTTCTAAATGAGAATCCAGATGGTTACCCTAACAAAGGTAAAAGCTCTAACGAAATATGAGATCCATTCAAGGTGACGGCTTGTAAAAGAATACATCAAAGACAAATGGATGAATAAGACTTGAGAAGACGACAACAACATAAAGGTTTTATCTCACTACGTGTGGTTAGCTACATGAATCCTTTTTCTTCATTGTGTCCAGTTAAGAGCCAAATTCTCATTTAAATCTAATAAAAAATGTAATTTCTAATACTTTCTAGTTTCTAACCAAGTCTTTTTAGGTCTACCTCTACCTATCTTAATATTAGTCAAATGTAATATATCTACTCTCCTAACCAGATCATCGTAAGATGCATGTTTTAAGTGACCAACTCATTGAAGGCACCTCTCATTAATCTTATCTTCCATTGGAGCTGCTTCAACCTTTTCATGTATATGCTCATTTTGTATTCTGTCTGTAAGAGTGAAGTCACTCATCCACCTGAGCATCCTCATCTCTCCAATATGTAACTTAATTTTATGCTTCCCTTTTAATGGCTAACATTCTATGCCATAAAGCATAGCAAGTCTCACCACCATCTTAAAAAATTTTCCCTTAAGTTTGAGGGGTACTTTTCTATCACCACTCATCCACCTGAATAAGACTTGAGAGCGCTATATAAAAACCTTTTTTTTTGTCATTCACATACTCAAGCATCAGCTAGCTGCCATCATTCAGCTTAATAGCCTTGAGAATATACCTGCTCAATAGTTCATCAATGCAAAATATTCAAAAATATGAAAACAAAACAACAACAACAACAACATCAAGCCTTTATCCCACTAAGTGGGGTCGGCTCATATAAGAACAAAGTCATTTACAAAGGGCTGGAAGGAATTACTAGTTCATTTATTGGATCATTATGAGAAGCTAATAATTCTTTTGAAGAGTTATTATTAAATCATTCTGAAGAATTAATGGATCATTTATTGGATCAATTCAAGTAATCATTGGCTCAACTATCAACTTATTTTGAGGAATCTCAAAATTAGTTTTTGTCTTATTCAGTATAGGACTTGTTGATTCCTTTTGAGAAATCTATCTGATTGGCAAGAGTTATAGAATCATTTGATACCTTACTCACTTCACCTGAAATATTGGCCATCTTGATAAGAATTAAGGTGTACAGCAATATTTAGAAAGGAGATGATAAATATGGCAGTTCTCGAATGACAACATAATGTCAATATTTTTAGGTTTTCATGATGCTAATGCGTGCCACCAATCAAATCAGCATCATTTCTTATAAGATGTCTCATCAAGATAATAAATTTTAAATTATCTATTTTTTATTAATTTGTAAAAAAAATTCATAATTCTCTTATTAGTTTTGTAAGTTATTTCCAATAGCATAAGAGAATCAAGAAACTAAATGGACATCCAAATGTCACACTTACTTGATTCAGGACTAGGTGGTCGAATTAAAGGAACCGATCTATTAGAGTCACCCAGCTAATAGAGAACTCACCGAGCCCCAGTGATGCTCACCAAAATCATTTTGAATTTACTTAAGTCGTCACAATTACAACAAACAAATCTTGAGAAACCAACTAGAGAAATTCGATCAAAGACCCTCAAACAAAGTTGCCCCAAATCTATTTGAACTCCCCGAAGCTTCCAACCAAAGTAGCTCGCTAATAGGAGACTCACCCCAAGCTACACTTACAATATTTCAAGGTTGTTTTCCTGATGCTATCTTTAAGACTAGTAGTCCAAGAGATTCTCCTCGTCTAGTCAAAGCATGAAATTGTTTCTATTCAGATTCAATGTGAATTTTATATGCTTTTAGCTACATAGTTTATATTTTAAACAAAGCAAGAATTAGTTAAATATTGTTTCATGTAGCCATTACAGAAGAACTAGATTGAACCAAGCCTATAAATAGGGGTGAGAAGATGAGCTTGACATGGATGCTTTAGAACTTGTAATATGTACTTTTAGCAAAGTAGTGAAATTTTCATAGCTTCTCTCTAGATTCTCAATATTCAATCTTTATCTCCCTAATTGTCCCTTTTGTTATTGTGCACTCTTGTTCGTAAGGTTAAGGTGTCGCTATGGATAAATTTGAATTCAACAATTTCGATGTGAAATAACTCAATTAGATTTGAAGTATTTTATTAGTGGGCAGATTACCTTATTTCTGATTACCAATATATAAGAAGTATGATAGAAATTATGAGGATCATGGCACCATTTAATCGATTAAAAAATGTGACTCATCAACTGCTCTGACCCTATTTATAAGTGAACCTACAACCCAATAAAGCAAATAGTTCTCTCCATTCACAAGTATCATAAAAAATAAGAAAATTTGACTTGGAAACCCTAAATCAATGAAATACACAGAACAATGGGGAAAAAAAACTAAGCAGAGCAATTATAGGTAAACTGTGAAAATAAAAGGCGGAAACAAGCAAACTAAGATGAATCAAAGCAAAAGACAAGATGCCCCTCTTTAAATAACCACAAAATGTGAAGTTCCGTACTTGGTTTCTCTTGCAGGGCAGCTCCTGTGCCGCTTGTCGGCGGCGGCTGCGGCTCTCTCCCGCCATCTTCCTCTAGAGAAAAGCAGAGAAAGGACCGTTTCTGAGAACTCCGAAAGGCATGAGAGCTCCAAGGGATTGCTCCGCCGCCGCTCCGGCCAACTTTACATCGCCGAAAGAGAAACTGCGGGCGGCCGGAGCAGCTTGTGAGATGAGCAGAGGACAGCAAACCGGAGCTTCCCATTTGTCCTACCCCCTCCCTCTCTCTCCCTCTCTCTCTCTCTCGCTCGCTCTTTCGTGTCTTCCTGAACTGCTGTATGAAACTCGCTTCTGGCCTTTCAAGAATACAAGATCAGATATTTTGTCGGAGATACAGAAGAACTTGCAAATTTGGCTATGTCTAGTCAAAGGTTAACGGCAAATGCAGAAATGGGCTGATCGGCCCGACAAAAGTTGGCTTAGGATATATATCATTCAGTTTTTATATATTTATATATTAATATACATAATATATTTAAATTCTTATATTTATTTATATATTATTCTATTCAGTAATTACCACTTTTAAATTATATAAAAAATGTTATTAATAAGAATTTATGTAACCTAAAATATATATTTTTATCATGTGTTCTATGATTTAGCCACTAGAAATAGCATAAATATAAAATTTCAGTGGTTAGGTATATAAATATATAACAATTTTGTGATATGTATGTAAATTTTCTATTTAAAATTATTAAATTTCTTTTAAGATAATCAAATATATTTTTAATTGATTTATCAAATATTATATTCAACTCAAAATAATTCTAATAGCTTTGTAATGGGTTCTTATTAAAACTTATGCTTAGTTTGTTAAAGCAGGTTTCAAATAAAAAGTTTTAATTTTGATATTAAAAACAGTTTTAAAAAATAGTAAGAAAGTTATTCAAGCGAAGCCTTAATATGAATATTTGGACCTATAACTATTTCAATTGGAGAGATTATTAAATTGTTAGACCCAATGTATTATCTCAATCTTAATGAGATCTAGGTTTCGTTTGGGACGGCTTTTTGCCTGCTTCTAAAAGTAATTTTTTAGTAAAAAAATTTATTATTTTGTACTGCAAAACTGCTTTAAGAAGCAGTAAAAAGTCGTCCCAAACGTTAGACATAATCAAACCTTAGATATGACATTAACTGAGAAATAAGTATCTTATTTGATAAAATTTTTGAAAATTATTTATAATTTAATAGGATTATATCCTTCGAATAATATTTTTTTGTGTTTTGACATATGAATATTTAAAAAAAAAATACATATCCAACTTTATAATAGCAATAGACATAATCAAAATGGTGTCTTTACATCCAACTTTATATTAAGGCTTCATTTAGAAAGATTTTATTATTATTTTATTTTTTATAACACATTTATAGTTTGTTTGGCCATTACTTTTTCTTTGCTTTTAAAAAATTTTATACAAAAAAGTTATTTTTTACATCAGCTTTTAAAAAGTTATTTTCTCCATAGCAACTTTACAGACATTTTTTTATAAAAAGCTGCAGCCATCCCAAACGACCCATAATCTAATATTTCTGCATATATCCACCTCTCTTGAAGTTCTAGGTAAATTATTCAATTTATGTGCGGCCATAAACACAAGCTTTATTTTTTATGAGCTTAATATATTTTGGAGGCACTTTATTGTCCATCATATTCATCATAAGATTGAAGCTTCTATAATTTAAGCTTGTCACACTCCCTTTGCTAAATAGATGTGTTCATGTTGTCTAGACTATACACAACTTAAGGCTTGCTAAACTACTAGTTAATTTCTACCCTAGTTCAATCCAAAGCAAAAACTATTTTAAGATAAATTAAGATAAATTCACATGTCTATTTGGCTTAAATCAAAAAATATGCTTAATGATTTACACTACATGAAAATGATCGATTTCCGACGGAGAAATGCACGTTGGAAAATAATCACCGGCAAATTTTTTTTCGGCAGATTAACAACAGATATTCACGGGAAAATTCCGACAGATTTTTCCGTCAGACATCCGTCAGAAATTCTTTTACAAATTAAAAAAAAATGCCCATCCATCTCACAGCTATTAAGACAGTTAAATACAATGTAAATTGTTTTCACATTTACTTCTTGTCAACCTATACTGGGCTGACACGTGTACCACACTACTCACTCTATTTGTATTTATAGCATCACTGTAGGCTCAAATGGATATACGAAATAATATTTCTTTCTTCTCTACTGTTCATCTTCTTCTTCTTGCATCTCATCTTCTTGGGTAGATGAGTTTCTACATGGTCGTCGCCCGTAGCTTCAAATTAAGGATTTCAGTATTACATAATTTTTGTTGATGATTTTTCTAAATTTGTTTGGCTATTTCCACTAATGTTTAAATCCGATGTAACGAAAACGTTTATTCAATTCGTCACTCAAATAGAACGTCAGACTGATCGCAAAATCAAAATCATCCGGACGGATTGTGGTGGCGAATTTATAAACAAGGATTTTCGTAACTTTACTTGTAATGCAGGTATCCTTCATCAAACCTCATGTCCCTACACACCCGAACAAAACGGGACTGCTGAAAGAAAATATCGTCATATAATCACCATTACTCGCACTCTGCTTCAGCAGTCGGGGCTACCAAATTCATACTGGCTTGATGCAGCTCTCACTGCAACATATCTTATAAATTGGCTGTCGTCCTCAAACATTGTGAAATTGACTCCGCTCCAACGAATGTTTGGCATCTCACCATCTTTCGCACATCTGCATAATTTTGGTTGTGAATGCTACCCTCTACTCCCTCCGACACAGCGTAACAAACTTACTCCTACCTCTGCTCGTTGTATCTTTTTAGGATACTCAGACACTATGAAAGGTTACCGGTGTCTGAATACAGACAATAAAACGGTGGTTATTTCTCGTCATGTTCGATTTAACGAAAGTGTGTTTCCTTTTAAAAATATACTCTCTGCAGGAAATCCAACACACATTAACATTCTGCCGTCCTTACTTCAACCCACCTCCATTCTTCCACCTAAGGAGGCGACCCTCTCTTCTCATACATTGCAGCCTCTTCCGGCACAACCAAACAGACATAATCAGCCAATTATCTCTGTCCAAGAACCATCTGCGACTCAAGGTGTTCCCGACCACAATGCGGCTCTTGTCAAAAAAAAAAATTACATATCCAACTTTATAAAAGTAATAGACAAAATCAAAATGGTGTCTTTACATCCAACTTTATATTAAAGCTTCATTTAAAAAGGTTTTTTTACTAAGTTATTTTCTCTATAACAGCTTTACAGCTACTTTTTATAAAAAACTGCAGCCATCCCAAACGACCCATAATCTAATATTTCTGCATATATCCACCTCTCTTGAAGTTCTATGTAAATTATTCAATTTATGTGCGGCCATAAACACAAGCTTTATTTTTTATGAGCTTGATCTATTTTGGAGGCACTTTATTGTCCATCATATTCATCATAAGATTGAAGCTTCTATAATTTAAGCTTGTCACACTCCCTTTACTAAATAGATGTGCTCATGTTGTCTAGACTATACACAACTTAAGGCTTGCTAATCTACTAGTCAATTTCTACCCTAGCTCAATCCAAAGCAAAAACTATTTTAAGATAAATTCGCATTTCTATTTGGCTTAAATAAAAAAATATGCTTAATGATTTACACTACATGAAAATGATCGATTTCCGACGGAGAAACGCACGTTGGAAAATAATCACCGGCAAATTTTTTTCGGCAGATGAACAACAGATATTCACGGGAAAATTCCGCCAGATTTTTCCGTCAGACATCCATCAGAAATTCTTTTACAAATTAAAAAAAAAATACCCATCCGTCTCACAGCTACATTCAGCAACCTGCGTCTTTGTAGTAGTTGCCTTTGAAATTCTACTGAAAATTTTTCGTCGAAAAATTTGTTGCAAATTCCATTGGTAATGTCCTTTTTTTTTGTAGTATTAGCTTTGTATCAAAAATTAATTTCCTAATCCTTCAGCTCACCGATGCTCAAATGAGTTCTCATTCTCTTCCTTTTATTCAATACTAAACCTTCCTCAGCACATTCAAAACCATCATACCATGTGAACAAAAAACAAACTGAATAACATAATCATTAATTAAAAAAAATCTTAAAACAAATCATACACATTAATTAATATAAATCACCTTCTCCTACTTAAGATACATCAACACCTCAGCCAACACACTCCTCAACCTCTTCACATCAACCTTCACTTTCTGCTTCTCAAGAAAATAATACCACAACATATTCCAACCTTGCTTATGTATCTCACCTGGATTAGTAAACACTAAATGATCACTTGGATATTGTTCTATCAAAGTACTTTCTTCCTTCTTAATCTCATATTCAAAGTACTTCAATCCCATATCAATGGCTGGTTGTCCATATGAAAATCTGCAAGCCCACGTCAAATCTCCCCATGGTATAATCTGTATCATAGCAGCTCTTTCAGGAAGAAACACCATATTTGTTAAACCAGCGCCATGAACGCCAAGTAGAGCATCTACAGAGTTTACAGTTGCAGAATAACTTGTTATATTTTTAGTTTCTTCTGGCCCTGAAACTATCACTTTGAATCCTAATCTTCTAGCCATGGAAATCACTTCTTTGCTGTTAACTAGCTCTCTCGACCCTTTCCTTAGTTGAATCAGAAGCTTTGGTTTCTTGTTCGAGTTTTTTGTGATGCTTTTCTTCTTCAGCGAGAAAGATGATCTTAGAAGATCTCTGAAGCTTTCCATGGAGGAACCGAAAGGTGGTTTGGTTGTGTCAATACCCAGCTCCTTGTTGTTTACAGTTCCTGCACATATAGTTGATCTTGTTCGGATTAGTTTTATAAGGGTAGAATTTGAACAAGTTAAGAATTTCAACTTCAGATAAGTTAAAATTTTCTATAAAGAAATTCTCAAATGAATTTCGCCCAAAATATTTCACTACAGAAAATTCAGGTATTACTGGCGGCTATTATCGGCAGTCATATAGCCGCCGGTAATACCAGTGGTTTAACCGGCGGTTATTTAATTAACCGCCACCGGAATTAGTGGCAGTCTAATAACGGCAGTTAGGGCGCCGTTTTATTTTTTACCGGCCGGAAAGCCACCCGTGATTATAATCGTCGGAAATAGACACCCAGAGATCGTTTCCTACGCAGTTTATTCTGGTGGTTTTCGAACCGCTTGTATTTTACGAAATAGCCGGATTTCTTAGATAGAGGAACCGCCAGAAAAAACCGACAGTAATACCTGAATTTCCTATAGTGTTTGTATACAAATTAGTAATAAATAAGCCAAGTATAAGAGCCAAACAAAGAGACCAGCGCTTACCTACTTGAACTTCATTAAAACAATGCACATTGCTGTCATTGTCAAGGTTGATAAGTTCATATCTTGAAAGCCTTGTGAGCATCGACTGATACTTGGAAATGAACTTAGAATTGAAGTCACTTACAAGAAATTTGACTTCACCATGGAAGTGGTGGGAAGTGACATACAGTGGGATCAATATGTCACTCAAATCATGGAAGAAGTTGCCTGAGAAGCCACCTGAGGAGAATATGACACCTGGTGTGCTGTGATTGATGGTGCAAAGAGGTGTGGATGTTTCTGGGTGTGATATATATGAAGATATGGAGAGTTCTTTAATTCTTTCCATGAGAGGAGCTTCCCATTTTCGTGGATAAGGTTTTATTTTCCATGTGGTATTTGTTGTGGAAGAAGAAGATGATGAGAAGAAGAGTATTTTGGAAGAGTTGCTTAGTATTCTGATATCACCAGTTAGAAGACAGGCGTTGTATCTGTCATGAGTTGTGTCGCAGAAGAGAGTTGTGTTTGAAGAAGCTTTGCCTGCAATTTCAATGGAGGAATTTGGTCATTTGATTTTACAATTATGCTGTAGTCATTATGAGGGAAAAAGATAATGACAGGTTATATAGAACAGAGAAAATTTTATAAGGGAAATCTTAATGTTCTAAATTGCCTTTTAAATTATTGGATTGATGTGTAAATGCATGCATATAAACGTTAATATTTGTGTTTATATTTTGTTTTGAATAACAACTACAACAAGGTCAAACATTTATCCCACTATACGGGGTTGGTTAAATGAATTCTTTTTCTCCATTGTGTCATGCTAAGAGTCAAATTCTCATTTGAATCTAATAAAAAAATGTCATTTTTAATATTTTCTAACCAAGTCTTTTTAGGCCTACCTATACCTTTCTTAACATAAGTCAAATCTAATACATCTACTTTCCTAACTCGGTCATCGGAATACCATCGTTTTATGTGATCAAACCATCTAAGGCCTGGAGCTAGTCCAACCTTTCACATATATGCTCATTTCGTATCCAATCTCTAAGAGTAAAGCCACTCATCTACATGACCATCCTAATCTTTGCAACACTTAACTTAGTTTTATACTTCTCTTTTAGTGGCCAACATTCTGTACCATAAAACATTGCAGATCTCACCACCATCTAATAGAATTTTCGCTTAAGTTTGAGAGGGACTTTTCTCTCTCACAACAAGTCTGATGCATTCCTCCACTTCAACCATCCAACTTGAATTCTACTAATAATATCCTTATCTATTTCACCATCATTATGAACAATAAACCCAAGATATCTAAAACTTGTACTCTTATTAATGATTTGATCGCCCAAAGTCACAATATTCCCATCACTAGATATATGATTACTAAAATTATACTCCATATATTCAGTATTAGATCTACTCAAACGAAAGTCTTTAGACTCTAAGGTTGACCTCTATAATTCAAATTTACCTTCAACTCTATCTCTAGTCTTATCAGCAAGAAGAACATCATCAGCAAAAAACATACACAAGTGTACAACGTCTTGCAAATGTCTAGTGAGAAAAAGCAAAAATATATGGGTTTAAAGCTAATCCTTGATGTAATCTAACTGAAATAGGAAAATTCTAGAATATCTAAAACTCTAGGCAAATATCTTTCTTACTGATTTTCTTATCATGTCGTAATCATAGTTTTTTTTGCCAGTGCTTTCAAAAATTTTTTGAGTTAGGAAACTAATTTATATTGTAGCTTTAAAAAAAAAAACTATTTTCTTTACAATAATTTTACATCTACCTTTATAATTAAAAGCTGTAAATGTCACAAATAAACCGTCAGAATACAATTAGAAGATGCCTACAACTCCAAGTGATTGAGAGAGAGAGAGAGAGCAACCATGGAAGCTCAATTCATTCATGTTTGCAAGCCCTATTTTTTTCACAATAGATGTATACAGAGATTGCAAAAGCACCTAATAACTTAGGCTTTATTTGGGATGGCTTTCTTACTACTTCTTAAAATAACTTTCTAGTACAAAAACTTTAATTTTTGTGCTAAAAATTTACTTTATGAAGCAGTAAAAAAGCCGTCCCAAATAAAACCTTAATAGCAATCTAATACGTCTAACAACCTATAAACTAATGTGGCTCAACACTAACTTATTGAAGTTACAATTACATTTAAGCCTAACATATTCACATTAATGAATAAATATTTACATATTTATGATTTATGCCTCTATATACATTAATTTTTAGAGGCAATGATGAGCTTAAAATTTCAAAATTAGATTGAAATTGAACTGATTTTTTTTCCTCAAACCCAAAATTAATCAAATGTAAAGCATTTTATTGAAAGTTCATAAAAATTAGGGAAAATTTATCTAAGGACCTATAATTAATCATTATTTATTATTTTATTTAATGATTGATTTATAAGATTTTATTCCTAAATTTAAATTTTTAAATTTTCTCAAATAAGTACTTTTTTATATAAGATTTTGCTTGTGATAGCTTTTTTGTTGCTTTTTAAAGCAATTTTTTAGTACAAAAAACTTTTATACTAAAATTTTTTATATAAAAAATAACTTTAGAAATCAATAAAAAACTGTTCGAAATAAAACTTTAAATTGGTCTTTATCCTCCACTTCACAAGAAAAAAAAAATAAATACTACTATATTTCATGTTATTTACATATCTAATATTCAAAATATTAATATTACATGTCTATCAGCCATAGAAGAAATTTGAGTGCATGAAATGAAATATTAAAGTTTATAGGATGGTATGAATGGTAGAAATGAATTATAAGATTGTTATATTTGATATTAAACTTGTAAATGAGTGGTAGGTATGTAATATTAATTTTTTTGATGTTGAATATGTAAATATGATAAAATAAAGTGGTATGTATGTAAATTTTCCAAAACAATTAACAATGGGCAGTCACATTAAACAAACATTCATAGGAACAAATCATAAACCTGATTCTGTAGAGTTGGTCAGATATTCTTCTATTTGTACTTCCTCATCAGTTTTAGTTGGTTGCCATTGCAAAATTTCTTCAGAAACAAAAATAAAAAGAAATAAATATATAGTTAAATCATAGATGGATCGAAAAAATTAGCGAAATATTTACTGATAAACTATGTTTCTTTTTTTTTTTTTTCTGTCTTGAGAAAAAAACAACGAACTTTTTCTGTTTGAATCGAAATCCTCTTTCAGAGCTTCTTCTTCCGCAACTTTGTTAGTGGGCTGTTGCAAATTCTCTGCAAAATAAGCAAATAGTTAAATGAAAGAGAGTGGCATTATGTTTAAGGCTTCGGGATGGTCTTCAGCATGGGATTAATTATTCTGTGCGGATGATGAACCTCATCCAAAGACCAATCAAAATACGTAACATCATTCCTTGCTTGAGCAGTTACTGTTGGTACCGCTCAGTATTGCGGCTCGGTACTGCTGACGTAGCGCATTCTGGTTGGTCTTCGGATGGCGTTCTGCCTCCGGTCTCCGCACAGAATAATTTCTCTGTGGTGGGCACATAGCGAACTATTCTTTAGCCTTTTACTTTCTAAAACAATTTTTAAGCAAAAAAAAAAAATTGAACTAGAAATTTTAGAAATCATTAAGAAAGCCGTCTCAAACGAAGCGTAAGAATTCGTTTGGAACAACTCTCTTAGTTTTGCATTTTAGATAGCAATTATAATTTCGTTTAACTGCTATGTTTTTTTAATTGCTTTCTCACAGCTTCTCAAATATGATAAAAAGCTATTTTTTCCAGCAAGAGTTGTTATTTTTTTCACAATCAACTTTATAAAATGCTGCAGCCATCCCAAACAAATCCTAAGACTTTCCTTATGCATGGAACACAAATAAGAAGAGTGAAAGAGATGAAATAAATTGCCAATAATTTATATAAATTAATTATGAGCTTACAATTACTTTTAGTCCTTCAATTATTTTTTTCGAAAGTTTATATGTTATAGTAAGGGATGGATCCACTTTGATTGCCTTGTGATTATTTAAGATGTTCAAATTTTCATTTGCACACTAAATAACGAAAAAACATACCTAATTATCTTTGATTTGCAAACCGTTAAAGATGCCATATTGTTCTTATTAAAAAGAATAATCTTATTCCATGATTGATGCCTATTGTCAATATTTTTTGGTATTATAAGTTCAAGGCCTACAAATAAAAAAAAATTGCTTCTCCCAAAATATATAAATAGATTAGTTCTATATATATATATATATATATACATGGGCGGATCCCAATAGAAGTGAGGGGGGAAAATGCCCACCCTCAAAAAATTTTTTTAAAAATTTTAGAGGGTATTTTTTGAAATATTTAGGGTATTTTGGGTATTTTGCCCCCTCTCAAAAAATTTTTTTGCCCTAATTTTATCAATCCTAATCATTTTTGCCCATACCCTACCAAAAAAATTTTTTTTGCCCACCCTAAAAATAGAAGCTGGATCCGCCCCTGCTTGTGCGCTGGACCTTCGTACAAAGCTAAGACATTAAATTTCGTATCTCTACCGCCGCGAATATTTCATGACGCAATAGTGATAAAACTCTATCACAATAAAATCTTTCCCAAAACATCTCTCTCTTCTTCTTTGAATTTTCTATATTGCCAAAATATGGAAAATTGGATTGAACCTGTGAGTCCAGCTAATTCAACCATAAACCTATTTCTCAATTTATTTGGTTTAAAATTAGGTTCTTTTTTGCCAAAAATAAAAAAGAATCAGGATGAATTGACCATGGTTTCTCCTTCCCAGATGTCTTGCTAAGTCATCCTTCTCAACATTGTAGACAACTTGTTTTAGTGTCTTTCACTTAGATAAGTATTTGAATTTAAATTTATATTCTATATTTCATTACTTAATTCTTTTTTTTTTATATATATAGCATCATCATTATATGATTAAACTATAATTAAATGGTTTTAATATTATTACTACATCACGGTTTAAATTTCGATAAAATTTCAATTGAACCTTAGAATTTTAAACCATTTCATGTGTGTATCTCTATTTGATTATCCGTTCTCTATCGTAGGGATTCAAGAAAGTCTTTTATAAACCAATTCACTTTGGTTTCGTTTGGGACTGCTTTCTTGTTGTTTCATAAAGCAATTTTTTTTGGACAAAAATAAAATTTTTATACTAAAAAGTTGCTTTAAGAAGCAAAAAAAATCGTCCCAAACGGAGCCTTAAACAAATCTTTAATATTAACTCCTCTCTCTCTCTCTTCCCATCAATTCTGTGTTTACTTTAAATCTTTAAATAGAGCTTGAGAGCTATTATAATATAGGTAAGAGAAGAAGAGAGTTAGAGAGCTTATTGTAATCCATATTATTTTTCAATATAGTGAAATCATTATCCTCTCCCAGTGGACATAAACATTTTCACCGAACCACGAAAACCGTCATGTTCTTTATGTTATTTTATTGTATGATTTTGTTTCCACTGTGTGTTTATTGCACAATAATTGGTTTAATAGCCGAATTTCAGTGGGATTTATGGCAGCGGTTTGAAGAATGGGAGCAAATCTCTGAGACGTGATCCGGTCAGATTGAATAAGCAAAGGTTGTTGGTTTTTGTTCAAGGTTATTGTTTACCCGGATTGGTGCAATTCTGGTGTCGTAACTCGTAAGGCAATTACAATTTGATGGAAACTATGAGATCCAGTTGATCCATAAATACATCCACCTTGATGGTAGAGAAGGCGTAGATCCATCAGGTGGTTACACATCCCATCAAAATTGATGTGATGAAATTTGAAGATGATGACAACTTTGTCATGTGGCGATATGAGGTGAAGGATATGTTATGCTCTTTGAATATGGAGGAATTTCTATAGAGGAATGAATGTACTGAGGAGATTTCAAAGAGGGATTGGCTAAAAATGAACTGGAGTGCTTGTGGCTTAATCAAAAATTGTCAATCTCAGGAAGTTAAGTATGGGGTGATAATGGAGACTTCTATTGTGGAAGACCTTGAAGAATAAGTACCAAACAAAGAATATGGAGAATCATCTCTATATAATGTAGCAGCTCTATAGGATGAGACATGAAATTAAAATTATAATTAATGAGCATTTGAATGCCTTCACAAAGCTATTGATAGATCTATTGAATATGGATGAAGATATTAGAGATGAAGACAAGATGCTCCTTTTGTTGAATTCACTTCTGAATGAGTACGAAAACTTCACGATGACACTCATTCATGTGAATGAGGTCATAAACTATGGTGAGGTGACTCTTACTTTTCAAGACTAGGAGTCTGCAAAGATGAATTCAACTGAGGCTCTCACACTCTAACATGAAAGATCTACAAAACTAAAGAATAAAAGGTGTGGCAGTGGTAAGCGGGGTAAGTCTAGTGGATTCTGTAAAACCCTTCAAAAAGCTGATTTTTTTTAGTGCAGTTCGTCTGTACGAACTGGATTTAGTACTGGACGAACTGAAGAAATTTGTGAAGAAATCTGCCATTTTCGTCTGTACGAACCATGGATGCCTGGGGCGTTACAGATTCAATCTTGAAAAGAATAAGTGTGTTTTTAGTTTAGAGACTTGTCATTAGAATAAAGATTGTCTGAAGCTGAAGGAGAAGAAAAATGGAATTTCTAATGAGGCAAACCTTAGCATGAAAGAATGTGGAAAAGATTCAGATGTATCACTATATGTAGTTTCTCAGAGTTTGTATACCGATGATTCATGCTAGATTATGGATACTGGTGTTACCTTTCATATTTGTCCCACTAAAGAATGGTTATATACCTAGAGAGAGCTTGATAGTGGTATTTGTAATCATGGAAAATGATCAAGCCTGTCGTAGTGTTAGTATAGGGAGCATTTTCATTAAAATGCATGATAATAGTGTGAGAGAGCTGCCTGATGTGATACATGTTCCAGATATTAAGAAGAGTTTATTATCTATTGGGGCTTTAGAGACCAAGGGTTACATGTTAGTCATTGAGGCAGGAGTTTTGAAGATATATTATGGAGCACTGATTTTTTGAAAGGAGTTTGTCACCACGATATTTACTACCTTCAAGGGAAAACAAGGATTGTAACAACTACTGTTACTTATAATTCTTCTGATGCTATTATATTGTGGCATATACGATTAACTCATGTCAGCGATGCTTCTCTATATTGAAGCAATGATTGATCAAAAGAGAAAACAATATAGTGGAGATTTGATTGATGTATTAATTAGATGATCTAATTATTGCATTAATTAGGATATTTGATTTATGTATTGATTAAGAGATCTAATTATGACATGATTATATTTCTTATTGATTAGGCTTTTCTTATTATGCTTGTTTCAAATCTTTAAATAGAGCTTGAGGGTTGTTATATTGTAGGCAAGAGAAGAAAAGAGAGTTCGAGAGCTTATTGTAATATTTATTGTTCTATAACATAGTGAAATCATCATCCCCTCCCTGTGGACATAGGCATCTTCGCCGAACGACATAATCACTTTGTTTTTTGTATTGTTTTGCTGTGTGATTTTATTTCCGCTGCGTGTTTATTGCACAACAAATCTTACATTCATAGTAAACTTCTATAGCTTCTCCAGTTTAAATCTTTTAGAAGTATTCCTAAGAATTTACTGCTAAATTTTTAAAAATCAATTTTTTTTGTTCTCTTGCACCAAGAGCTTCAAGGAAGTATCATCCCTCAGACAATTAGAGACATTTTCATTGAAAGCCTCCTCCAAACATTATCATCGTCGATAGACCGCTTGGCAAAACCCTAATTTACTAAAACTTATTGGACCACATTTTGGGCAGAAATCAAATGATAATGCTTATATAATTGAGGACACCAATTTGCAGCTCGCACGAGCACCCAATCGAGCGGTATTTAGAAAGACATTTTCGTGTTTTGAATAGTGTGATGTCAATATTGATGTTGCATTGGTCACGAACGTTTTTTTTAAGATAGAGAACTAATACACACATAATATATATTTTTTAATGTTATAAATGAGTTCGATTGTAGATAAATTATTATTTGATATGCGCCTTAATATATTTTGGAGTGAAAAATAAATGTTTCGGTTGAAGATGCACTAAGACTCATATTAATTGTCATTGTTTGAGAAATGGGGCCCACAATGAATCATACGATGAGGATTACTATCTCTCAATTGAAAAACTTTCCAACAAGTTCGTCAATGAGAAAATCTGCTCTATTTTTTATAATTTTTCCTTTTAAAGTTATTTATCAATACATATAAGCCACCAACATCTTTTTCTGGACACATGAAAAATATCAATGGTTCGTTTTCCCCTTTGCTCTGATCTTGCGACTAGTGACTCACGACCTCAAGCACGGCTTTCATTTTTCCTTTCGTTCCTCTCTCGCTCCCAAACGAAGACAGTCCCGTGGTAGATGTTTATGTCTTTCTAAGCTCTAAGGGACATGTTATTTGCATTCTTAATTTTGATCTTACAGCTCCTCTTCACTCAGGTAATGAGAGGACAAATGAAATTATTTTAATGTATTCTAACCTTCCAAATAAGACGATATTTTAATTCTAAAAACTTTTCTTCCTCATTTTCATGACTAAACATCACTGACTCTATAACACGAAAAGCATTTAATACGTTGAATATTAATGTAAGGCCATATTGTTTGTCATGCAATTTAATAATTACATAACCAATGGGAATTGTTATAATGTAATCTATGGACGGATGGAATTTTCTACCATATTAATTAAATTCTTCCAACCACTTTGATTTAATTGCTTAATTATATAAATTGTTAAAATACATGATATATAATTCTATATTACAAAACTCACCCTTCTACAATAGTTTTATCATAAGTTTTTCATGTGTTTTATAATTTAAGCACTAATTAGATAATAATCTTTTTCATATCTTAACTAAAAATTTTAAATAATATTAAAAAAAATTCAAAATCACAAAGGAAATTGAATCTCAAAATTAGATGTGTCAAAATAGATTAACGGATTGGGTTGACTTAAACAGGTCAATAAGGTGAACATAAACTTGACCCGTTAATAACTGTATGACTGAACCCAGTCTGATAACCCGTTGTGATTTAGAAAAGATTGTAACTTGTCTACATAAAATTTATGTTAATTGATCATAAGTTAAAAAATATACCAACAAGCAAAAAAAAATTCATGGCAACAAAAATAAACAAGTCATTATCAGGTTCGTGGGTCAACTCGATCTCAACCTATTAATTAAACTGGTAGAAATTCAGTACTCAAATCCGACCTACTTATTAAACTAGCCAATCCAGTTACTTTACGGATCTGTTAGGTTTGAATTGGGAAATAAAAGAAAGTAAATGAAAAGAAACATGGAACTTGAAGTGGTGGACAAATGAAATCGAAATTAATTTTCACCTAATTATTTAGTTGAGGGAAATTTAAGTGATCAATTTTTATTTTCTTATTTTATTGATAGGCATTTGAGTTTATATTTTCTATGAGAAAATAAAAAGCATATTAAATAAGAGTCACATAGATAGCTAGAAAATATTTTATCTTAATTTTTCATTATAATTGAATGTAAAATTATATATGAAAAAAAATACATTTATTCACAAATTCTGAATAAATTTAATTATATTATAATTGAACTCCCTACTTAAATTTATGGTGTAAAATACATTTATTATTCCTTGCATTCTTTTAATGTTTGGTTTTCTTCACTGAATATAAATTTTTTATTGTTCTACTAATTAGGAGTTCTTCGGCTGAATCTTGTGTATGTAACGTGTATGTAAGTTTGCCTTAATTAGCATAAATGTCCCAAAAAAATCGGTTTGCAGAAAGAATTGGGCACAAATTTAGTTTAAGCAAAAAAAAAAAAAAAAGCTGATGCAGTGATTTAATTTGATCAAAATAAATTTAATAATTATCAAAGTTATTTAAAGATGAATCTAATATATTATTAATTAATTGAATTTGTTATTTGATTTATTTTAAAATAAATCTTATCATTATAAAACTTATTTTTATTAAATATGAATTAGCATATTCTGATCTACATTTTCTGAAGAAAATAGCTGCTCCCCTTTTTTTCCCCTCATAAAAAATAATAATTTAAAGTTTATTTGAGATAACTTTCTACTTGCTTTACTTTTCAAACATAAACCACATATTTGTTTTACTTCTACTTTCTTACTGTTTTTAAAAAAAATGATTAAAAATTAGCTTTCGCAATCAAAATAGCAAAGACTTTATTTGGGATGATTTTTTACTGTTTCTTAAAGTAATTTTTCAGTACAAAAATTTTTAATTTTTGTATTATAATGCTACTTTAAAAAGCAGTAAGAAAGTTGTCTCAAACGAAGCCTAAGTTCCTTTTTCTATAGCAACTTCATAACCAACTTTATAAAAAGTTGCAATCATCCTAAATATACGCTTTAGATGATAAACTCTCAGATACTTTGATCTGCTTTGGGATAATTGATAAATGAAATATTCTAATATTTATATTATTTTTATCTCAAAATAAATCCAATAATTTAAAGTTCACCTAAATAAAAAATTTGATAAGGATATCTCATCCAATTTTTTTTTCAAAAGATTTAGTAAACCAATTATCAATTCATGAAATTTTCCACTGCTTAAAGTTATAATGTAAGATTTAAAAAGAACTTAATTCTCATCAATCTCTCAGATAAAAATTTATCCGATTAAAAAAGAAATAATTATTCACATATAATTTAATTAAAATTTTAATTAGTTCCACTAAAATTCATTAAAAAAATCAAATTCCAAAGCCATACCAGTTTCAGCAATCCCATCCTTCCTATCATTCACCACTTCCTTCTGCAAATTCAACCGCACAGATGGCTCAAAATTCACTGCAAAAAACACAAAAAGCAAAAATTTATGAAGAACAGAGCACAATTATCACATAAAAAACTCAATTAAAATTCTAAATTATCTCTTAATTAGCAGCAAACAAAGTAATTATAGCTTAATCACACTTGCTTACAGAAGGAGAGCCGATAGTAGAAACTGATATAATAGATTGATGGAAGAACCAAGCAACAGAGCATAGCAATTGCAGGCCAAAGCCTGCAGAGCTCTGAAGAACGCTTTGGCATTACTGTTCTATCAAAACACCACATATTTGACTTTAGCTTCTTCATCAACAGAACAGAAGGATCCTTCTTTTGGCATTTGGAATAATCTATATATTGCCGGCTGGAAATACTAATTTATTATAGGAATGTTGACATTCCAATTACCAACTTATTATTTACTAATATATTGCTTAATTAGTTCATGAAGAAGCTCCACAATGTTACATGTTCAATTACTATTTTCCTCTTTGAATGATTTGTTATTATTAAAAGGAATTTATAGTTCTCAGGTCTTCATCATGCTGCGCATTAACCAATTGAATTAACTAATAATCACCATCTCCTTTGAAAGTTAGATGGTGGTTAGACTTGCAATGCTTTTATGGTGCAGAATGTTGGTCATTAAAAGAGATGCATAATATTAAGTGTTGCAGAGATGAGGATGCTCAACTGGATGAGTTGCTTTACTCTTAAAGACAGGATACGAAATGAGCATATACGTGAAAGGGTTAGAGTAGCTCCAGTGAAAGATAAGATTAGAGAGAGTTGCCTTAGATGGTTTGGTCACATAAATCGGTGGTCTTCCGATGACTCGGTTATGAAAGTAGATGTATTAGATTTGACTTATGTTAAGAATGGCGGAGGTAGATCTAAAAAGACTTGGATAGAAAATATTAGAAATGACATTTCTTTATTATATTTAAATGAGAACTTAACTTTTAACAAGGCACAATGGAGAAAAATCATTAGGAATTTCAGGAAGTTTTTGTTTGTTTGATGAAGAAGGATTGATGCATTGTATGAGATTTAGAAGGGTTTAGTCGTTAATTATTATTTAATGAAGAATTAATTATGTTTTTGAATGGTTAAAAGATTATTTAAACTGTTTGGTTGTGATTATTACAGCATGTTTGGTGTATTTATTTATAAGAAGACAGATGATATGTCCTTATATTAGAGATGTTGAGTGATGGAATGAATGATGAAAGTTTTTGGTGTTTGATTATGATTATTATCTCAATTTTTAATGGTGATGGTCTTTGTACTTCCACAGATCCAACTGATGGTTGTTAGCGATTAAATAATGTTCAACATGTTGTATCAAGTTGGTTGATGCTTTATTAGCTTGAGATAGGACTCAAATAGATATGAATTGGCCAATCTGGACGAGTCCAAGGGCTAAATCGACCAAGCTTAGCTCATATGTTATTTGACATAAGTCTCTAGAGGAGCCTTCTTGAAATTGCTCTCATGAAGTTTCATAGTGAGTTATCTTATGTGCTTCCTCTATAAAACTCTCCAAGAATTTGTTCAGGCTACTTATCCCATGAACTCTTGCCCACTTAATTCCTTCCCAAGACATAACTCTGACGGGGCTGTAAAAATTGGGTCATGGGTCGAGTTCGGATTCAAACCGGACCTGACCCGTCATTATTCGACCCAACTCAAACATGATCAGTTTTTTAAAAACGGTTAATTTTTCAGACCCATACCATACCCGCTTCTGGTTTGGGTCAACTTGACCCAACCTGTAAGTCAAATCCCGTAACTCCGCTTCGGCTTCAGCAATGACATAAATCGCACCTTTATTAAGCCAAAACCCATAACTCCGGTGGCACTCCGGCAACAGCAACAGCAGCCAACAGCAATGCGGGAAAACGCGACATATGTAGGCTAAGACATGGGCGGTAGCATCGCAACCACAGTCATTTTCCAGATTATTTATGAGTTTCCGAGTCAACCCAAACCCGACCTGATTGTTTAAACAGATTGATTTGTTGAACCTAAACCTGACCTGTTTTGGATCCGGATTGACCCTCATCCAAATTTGTAGGTCAGATTCGAACCGAATTTTTGGATCCCTAACTCTTAAGATCTCATAAAACTTCTCAAGCATGCTTCCAACGCTCCATATAGTCATTTAAAGAGCACTATTTGTGGATCAATGCACATCATAACATTATAATTAACGAGCAATTTTATAATGTTACATCAATAAGTACATCTCATCAACGACACCCATCACAACATATTAGATTTTGAGCCTCCTTCATACCATCCAAGCTGTCAAACGCCACTTAACATACATATTACAATACTATTTTTATATTGTCATAAACGGTTAAAAAATTGTACCAAATAAAATATAATACACAAAATAATTCTTAATAAAATAAAATTTATCATATTATAACTATTGGACAAACACAACTAGCCCAAATAGAACCCTAATTTTTTAAACAACAAAATCAAACTGCTAGAAAGAGACCAATGTAGCCTGGCTAATTTTCATAGTGGTTATTTGGTTGTAAATAAAATATCTTAACTTTTAATTTCTTATGTTTATTTGGTTGGTTGTGAAATAAACACCAGAAATAAAAATTTTTATTTACTTAGCTGTAAATTAAATATTAAAAAAATTATTTTATTTATAATATGATTATATAAATATAAATTTTTTTTTTTTTTACCGAACTATGAAACTAGACATATGGATTATGAATGATGGGGAAGAGAGAATGGTGTGGACTAAGCTTAGGCCATCTCCAACCAAACTGCATACGGTGGTATGCCGTCCGCCATTCGTTCAATTTGAATGCTAAATTCGGTAGGTGAACAGTGTGACGTCAATATTGGCGTTGCATTATTTACCTACATCAATTTTTTATATTGTGGGATTTGTCGAAGAAGCGCGCGAAAGAGAATGAAAGACGGTTACCTTCGCAACGAGATGAAGAAGCACGCAAAAGATGAGAAAGAAATGGTGTTCGATTGAAGATGAATTACTGCATTTTAGAGTGGAAAATGAGTTTTTAGATTGGATATGACCTTAGGAGATAAATTATGTTGATTGTTTTCCTGGACAAATTATTAGGTGCGGACACCTGACAGAGATAATCATCCAAATTTTTCTCTGTCTACAGTAAAAGCACAGTCAAAATGCAAGTATTGTAGCAGCTGCGTTTTGACTGTGCTTTTACTGTATTCAGAGAAAAATCCAGATGATTATCTGTGTCTGATGTCCGAACCTAATAATTTCTTATTTTCTGGGTACATGACTTGTGGTAATTGAACAGGGGATGAGGGCAAAATCATGGAAAGGCAAAGATGTGGTTGTAGGGATGGAGTTATTGGGATGTAGGGATGAAATCTCCATTGCAATCAACATGGTTAGTGACATATCGTGGGTGTGTGGATTGTTGCGAGTGTTCACAATGCTAGGATGGCTTGAGATTTATGAACTGTCTTTGGAACTTGTCCAATTAAGTGGAATTTAAAAATCTTCAATATAAGCTTCACATGCTAACATTACTTTTCATATTGGAACTGAAATTTGTCTCCATTTCCCCCTCTGTCGATTCTCATCGTCTTCTCAAACTCCATAGTCCACATCGGCCGATCTCACCTTGCCGACGGACTAATTGAATCCGCCGTCGTAGTCCTCCATTCCCTCACATTCACCTCCCTCGCCACCCAACGCTGACTCCAGCCCTGGCAGCTTATTCTCTGCCTTGGCTCTTCTCGCGCAGTCGACTCTGTCCTTGCTGTCGAACTCGGCTTCCGCCTTGTTCATGTTAAATTTGTCTTTTATTATTATTATTTTTTCCTTTCACCGTCATTCTAAATTAGGAGATATGCCTTAAAAGTTAAAACCATAAGATTATTGTTTATATGTTTTAGTAGTTTGAAATTCCATCATTTTCAAATATGAAGAGCAGAAGTTATATACAAGAACTTTTAATTATTTTATCTTAAATAGTTTATCTGTTTAAACAATAAATTTAAAAAATAAAAATAAACCGCCTATGTTGGTCTAAAGATCAAATGAAAAAAGTTGAACCCCTTAAAAAAGTATTCATGACATTCAAAATGAAACTTAGTCAGTGCACATTAAAAAAATATTATATATTTCATTAAACAATATTCAAGAGCATGTTTGACATATATCTATTGTTGGCATTGGGGCCATGGACTATGGCTGCAAACGAACCGAATCGAATCGAGTATGTGAGTGTTCATATTTGAGTTCGTTTATTATTAGTAGGGGTGTCAATTTCGGGTCACGGGTCGGGTTCGGGTCGAACCCGAACTGACCCGGGTGGAAAACGGGTCAACCCTAACCTGACCCGGGTAGAGAATGTAAGATTCATCTTATATTTATTCATGAACATCCTACACAAGCAATCTAGCAAGCACTGACAAATGTGAAATGTCTGTTGTTCATGAACAAATTCATTCTATTGAAGATATAAAATAAAATGGAATTAAATTTATAATAAAAAGTTGTCTATTTAAAATGAAAATATAATTAATCTATAGGAATATATTTATCGAACTTGTTCACAAGTTCTAAATTGAATATAAATCGAGCTTGTTCACGAGCTTCAAATGATGTTGTTCGTGAATATAAATGAACCAAACACATTAGTGTTCAAGCTTGTTTATTTAAAGATTAAGTATTAAAAATGTTGTTCAAGTTTATTTGTTTAGTTAGTTAAACGATCGCAAACGAGCTTTAATCGAATTGAGCAGCGAGTAGCTCATCAAACGTTTGGGTTTGCTTGCAACCCTACCGTGGACAAGCTTTCGTAGGCCTCCGTGAGGTTCCACTAATCATAATTCGAACTCACATGATCCAAGCTTTGTTCTCACTTGCGTCACACATGCTTTTGACTTGAGACTTAGGAACTGTTTGGATGCATCAAGGATTTAATTTAAGTATGATTTCGTAAATCCTCTAAATTTGTATTTTATAAATCCTAGAAGTGTCAAATCTTGAAAATTGTTTGATAAAATTTAATGTAAATCTGGATAAATCATGTATGAATATTTGACAGTTCAATTTATAATTTAAGGCGGTTAATACATTTGAAATTTATTTTATAGATGATTAATGTTGATTTATGATTTAAGGTAGTTAACACATTTTGAAATTTATTTTATGGATGATTAAAATACAACAATAGAAGTTCAAATAAAATACATCAAAATTTTCTTACTATATTAATATTCTAATAGAAATGAATTATTTAATTATTATTTATAATGTTATATAGTAATAATTTGTATTTGAAATTACATTTAATCATATATATTTTTCTCTTTTCGTCGTTGCTGTTCGGCTTCGTTGCTTCGCAGGAGAGGTAGAGATTGCACGCGTGGCTTTGTCGGCTCCTTCGTGGCTGTTCGACTTCGCTCCTTCGACGACTTTCCCGTCCTGCTGGATCGGAAGTTACGACATTTTGATCGGACGCAACAACTGGAGCTCACTGGCTCTACCTTTCGCGCGCTTCTTCGGCCAAATCCCATAAATCCGCCGAACCGAGGGATTTAGTAAATCCGGGATTTAAGCGGTAAATCCTTAAATCCAGGATTTACCAATTGCCGGGATTTAACGCGCGAACAAAAACCGTTTGGCTGGATTTAGCGTAAATCCGACTTAAATCCCGCTGTAAATTTACGATACCAAACAGCCCCTTAGCTTCTCCGTTTCCCGCCAATCGGCTGCTCGAGGGTTGGTCGAAATGGCGTCAGAGAAAGCCCTAGATTGTCTCCGGCGGAGGCTATGCGACTCTTCTTTTGTATATTCCGCCTTCAAATCCACTCCGGCCGGAAACTACAGGTGTTTTCGCGTTGATCTTATCCCGGTCTATCGATCTATCTTGTATTCCTTCTTCAAATCTGCTATAACGGTCCATCCTTGCGTTTTCCGGTTTCAGTAAGCTGAAGTTCCTGATTTCTAACACCATTACTGAGGCCTGCAACAATTCCGTTCTCCTCCTTGGCCCACGTGGATGCGGAAAAGGAGCGGTAAGTCCTTACTCAACTACTTAATGGTTGTTAAAATTTGTTCTTTTAATTTGTAAGACCTGAATAGTTACACAAGCGATATAAAGAGCTGACAAAAGCAACTTGAAAGCTTTACCAAACATGATCTTAGACTCTTTAATTGTACTTGGGAAATACTTTGTTTTCCCGCGCAAACAACAAATTGCTGATAGATTTTGATTCTTTTAACACAATAAGGCTGATATTTGTACATATATGATTACCAACTTCTGTCATGTACTTTATTTCATGGCCAGGTTGTAGATATGATTCTTGAAGAATTAAAGGATGAGTTTCCTGAGATAATTTCTGTGGTATGAAATTCTTGTAGTTGTTTTTGTGCACTCAGTTATATTGCTTTTTCTATCTTATTGATTTGATTCTCATCCTTATATTTTTTGGCATTATAGGTAAGGTTAAATGGCTTACTGCATAGCGATGATAATTTTGCAGTGAAGGTTAGAATCACTCACCTTGGGGTTTAGCTTTATCCGCTAGCTCAACTGTTTTGTTAAATATGTCTTTGTAATATCTGGAACAAAACTTGCATTATTTTAGCTTCAAAAGTTTAAATAAATTTGTTTATGATGTATATAGTCACTTTATTTCACCTTTAAGCACGTTTCTGTCTGAAGGAAATTGCTAGGCAATTGTGCATGGAGCACAAGTTACTTTTCTCTAAAATGGTAATTCCTTTTGGCCTTTTTTTTCCGAGTAATTACTAAGCTTCAACTTCTAGAATCTTGGTAAAGACAACTTATTAAGTCGTTCAAAAAATTTTTTTTCCTTGAAGGCATCTTCAGATGATAACTCTCAGTTCATGATAGACATGTTGAGGTGAGTTTATATTATTTATTCATAATTTTCTTGGCTTTTAGGTTTTTTTTTAGTTCTTCTTTTCTTCCTATATTTCATCTGTTGTTGACATCCAAAGTTGCTTATATTGCTAGGGAGTGTGGATTAGCTCACAAGATGATCATTTTTGTATTGGAAGAGTTTGACCTTTTTACTCAGGTAGAGCCAATTATATAAATCATCAGTAAGAATCTTTTGATACTTTTTTTTTTTTCGTTGATGACATCCCTTAAGAATATCGAGTGTTATACTTTATATAACATGTATGTTCTAGTGAGAGATTATGATGTCGCTTGATCTAGATGATCTATGAATATACAAATTTTACAGTATGGTAAACTTGCTCATATAATAATGTATTTTTTTGAATTTGCAGGGGAAACAACGATTGCTATATAGTCTACTGGATGCAATGCAAACTTTGACCTCCCAATCAGTAGTTATTGGTATCAGTTGTCGCTTGGTAAGGAACCTTTAACCTTGTATTAATTTTCTTTATTATTTTCTTTCAATCACGTAGTGAATCTATGCATGTAGTAATATTTTTCTTGCTTATTTATATGAACTAGATTCCTTTGTTAACCCTTAGGTGGCATCTAATAATTTGCTACCTTTATATTGCTTGGCAGAAATTCCATAGCACAATTTTGTGCATTAGAAATGTGAAAGTAAACTACTTTCTAACTAGTTTTATTGCACTACATTAAATGCACGTGAATAAAAATTAAAAAATAAAAAGTTATATAAAAGTATTTTAATTATATTATCATCCAAAATTTCCAATTAGGGACTATCATTTATCCAAGCCTAAGAGAAGATTTTCACATTCCAAGTTTAAGAGTGATGCATTGATGCAAGCTATAACAGATGTTCCAATATGTTTTAATGCCTTCTCAAAATGTGAATTGTGTGTTACCATGCTTCCAAATAAAAATATAGGTCATATATAACACTAATTTAGCAATGAGGTCCCATACATAGAGTTCAATAGAATTTTAATATTGCAAGTGAGGTTAAGGTGAGTAGGAGAAAAATAATCCAGCCTCTTGTACTAGCTGCTTTAGTGACATTACTTCTAATGCTTTCCAAAATACAAAACAACACATTGTGTTGTAAGGAAAATCTGCTTGTTCTTCTATAGGATGGTGAATTCATCAAATGGAACATAAGAGATGTTAAATGAAGAATGAGATAACAGAATAAAAATTCCAGAATGATTTATGGACTTTCGCTTGATTGAGTAGAAGCATAAGCCTTTGGCTACTGGTATTTAATTGAAGAATGCAAGCCAAATAGTTCCGATCAGACAAGAACCATTTTCTTTCCGTACTTCCAATATAAACAAATGTGAAGAATCTTTGACTATTTAAATCACATTTAATCATTGCATTGTTATTTCATCAAGTATAAGGTACCAAATCATTAACTTCCAATGCATTCAACTATATATGTTGAATAAATGCATATTATAAAGCCACTTGTATAGGTTTAATAAATGAGTATAATCAAATATAATTTACCTAGAATGATATCTTAATATAAAATAGATAACATAAATAAATAACGACACCTAAATTACTTGTATGGCACACTTGTAAGTAAACAATGGAGATGTACAAGAAAGTTATACAATTTGATAATAGATTGGTTAACTAATGCTCTACATAAAAATTGCTAGCTTAACAAATGAGTAGAACATGAATTGTTTGTGAACATCAAACTTTATTGACACCTCTACATAGAAGATATAAATTAAATAAAATGTATAAACAATATTAACAAATATGAACATTAACAAATAAGATTCTTTGATATTAATTGGAAAAAATACATTAATGAATATGAACAATGATTTTCAAATATGGATTATTTAAAAATATGAATAATTTATGTGTTAGAAAGAAAATAAAATAGCATGATATAATTACAAATTAAATATATACTAAAAATAAAATTTCCAAATATAAATAATATCAGGAATATCTATAGAATTTTAATTAGTAATTAAATATTGTTACATAAGAGTATCTATAGAAAATTCAAAAGTTATCAAAAGAGAACCGATATGATCCAATATACTTCAATGCATGCATGTAATTATAATAAAATGCCCTTTGTATTCGATCTCCACACAACCAAAAAACACAATAATGAAGAGAAAATGTAGCAGAAATTAGTGAAAGAGAATGAGATAATTGGCTAATTTCATTTATATCGGCATAACAAACCAAGAAGTTAATCTACTATTCAAGAGGTAGATCAACTCTCCACAAACTCTAGGCGCTGCTAGGCACAACTCTAAAGGAAATTACTGCAAAACACAAAATCATATTATGAAAATAAACAACCTAATTAATTCTAAATAAACCTTTCTAATTTCCTCTCAAATCTGAATTCAAATCAACCTTCTTTCCCTAAATAAATATTCCTAATTCCTTCCCTAATCTGAATTCAAATTAGCCATCTTTCCCTAAATAATACTTTCTAATTCTCTCCCAATTTTGGTTGTATTGTAAGTAATTAAATGTGGAATTAATCCCCTTTGTGGCCCCTCTCTCTTTGCTTGTCGCTCACACTAGTGGGGCCCACAGGGCTCTTCTGCCTGCCGGTTAGACCGACCCTCCTTGTTGGGGTCTGGTTGATTGGCTGGATTGGGTCAGCCAAACAACATTTGGGTAAATTCAATCATAACGCTTTCAAATGTATTTTTATTGGGTATTTTCCACTAAAAAGATATAAGTGTTAACATCCCACTAAAAAAAAAAAAAAAAAAAAAAACTTAAAAAGATGTCATCTTTAATGAGAAGCATATTTTTTCAATTAAACTCATCTTCAGGAGAAGAACTCTCAATTATAAGATAAGTTTGATGAAATATATCATTGATCTTGGTATTCTTACAATATAAACTCCAAAAAATCTTGAAAGCATGCCTCTTGAAGTCTATACTAGAAGAAATAAGCTCAACGAAAATTTCTAGTAAGCTCAAGACTCGGAACCATTATCAAGCGGCAATGTTTAGCTCATTAATATACATTCTCCTTTGTATCCTTTTTCTCAACACATTTTTTTAAAAGTTATCTCCTAACCATAAATCCTATTTTACAAATATCTTCTCTAATTCCATTATGTTATCATAAATTCTATTTGGGGCACTTGCTATGAGAGAAGAGATAAATGCTCTGGAAAAAAGTACACTTGGGAGATCATTGAATTACTAAAAGGGAAGAAAACAATAGAATGCAAATATATTTTTTCTATAAAATGTATTGCAAATGGAAGCTTGAAACAGTATAAAATGAGATTAGTAACTGGATAGTATAACAATATTGTGAAATTGACTCTCAAGAAATTTTTACTCTTGTTGTGAAAATGAATACAATACGTATCTTTATTTCTCGTACTGTCAATCATAGGTGCCCAATGTAGTAGTATGATGTAAATAAAGAATGCTTTCCTATATGATAATATTAAAAAAGTCTTTAGGAATCCGCCACGTGGACTGAGTAGTTCTTTCACAAAGAATAAATCATACAAAATAAAAATGCTATATATGGCCCTAAACAATATCCAAGAAGTTGGTTTGACATATTTACAAAAGCCATGAATGAAGTTGGATACACAAAATTAAGAAGATCATACTCTTTTAATAAGACACTCCACTGATGGTAGAATCTCAATTTTTATTGACAACATAATTATCATGAGGTGCTGACAATTGAGAAAAAAGAGTCTCTTAAGAAAAAGCTTGTTGAAGAATTTGAGATAAAAAAGTTGAGTAATCTCAAATACTTCTTTGGAATAAAAATTGCTCGATTAGATTAAACAACATTTATCTCTTAACAAAAATATATCATAAATCTTCTTAAAGAATTAAAAAAATGATTGATTGCAAACATCGTCTGACCCCAATTGAACCAGGTTAAAAATTAGATATAAATGAAGAAAGAAAAGAAAGAGATAAGAGATAATATCAAATATTAGTTTGGAAAAATAATATATCTATCCCATGCCCATCCAAACTTTACATTTGTACTGAGTTTCATTACTTAATTCACAAACAAACCCAACTATTCACCTTCAAACTATTTATAGAATTCCCAGATACCTTAAATCAAGTCATAATAAATGAATCCTTCATACAAAGCATGATATTTAATAATTTTAATGGTATACCAATGCAGATTATGCTAGATCACTAGTAAATAGAAGATTCAAAGTTGGATACTATACATTTTTGGGAGGGAATCTCATTACATGGGGGAGCAGGAAACAACATATTATTTTAAGATCTAGTTTTGAAAGAGCCATTACCCAAAGAATATGTGAGCTTTTGTGGACCAAAATTATTTTAGCAGATTTAAAAATCAAATGGGATGGGATAATGAAGATATACTGTGATAATAAATCTGCCATCATCATTACTCATAATCTAGTACAAGATAATCGTACCAAATAAATGGAAGTGGATAGATATTTCATAAAACATAAATTAAAAAGTGGGGTTGATATGTACTCCATATGTGCTAACAAGAAATCAACTTGCAATCATCTTACCAAAAGACTTTGTAGCTCCACAGTAAAAAATATTATAAGCAGGCTAGAATAGTGAATTAATTATTCAGTTTGAGGGGTAGCGTTGAAGAATGATGGGACCCTTTACTCAACTAATCTTAGTATGAGTGTTTGAGCATACAAATTAAGGGTTCTAACTGTTTGGTCTATTCTCTAATATATGCCTCTTCTTCCTATTTTAGATATCGACCCCTCTTGGAGATTTTTTTTTTCTTTTTTTTTTTAAAGTAAATTTAATTTATTTCCATTTTTAGCCTTTTGGACAAGTATATAAATATTTCCACACTTTGTACTAAATCAAGCAATAAAATTCAAATTACTTTTTTTTTCTACTTTTTCTATAAAAACAATAACTTTTTTTTAATACAAGACATCATAATATTAGCAAATTTGATCTTAAATTTCTATTTATATGTGATTACTGCGGAGTAAATTTTTTTGTCTTTGTTGGGGAAAATTAAAGCCGCTCTAAAATTCCAGTTATGGTGATCTTGGTATTGCATGTATAACAATTGCACTTGGTAGATAAGTATATTATTTATATTTCTAATGTTGTCTGACTAGGTTGTTTGTCATAGGATGCAGATCAACTTCTAGAGAAAAGGGTGAGATCAAGATTCTCACATAGGAAGCTTTTGTTCACGCCACTCTCAACTGAAGATATGCAGAGGTAACCTTAATGTAGTCTAAAACATTTTGGAGCTTTTGATCATGAGTGGATAATTTTTCAAGTTGATTATATATAATGTTTATATATTGTTTAAGTGTTTTGTAGATTGCTGGAGCACCTGTTATATTTGCCAAAAAATTTAAGTTTGCCTTCCAAATATGTCAAGGAATTCAACTCAAACGTCAATGTATCCTTCGTAAAACGCTGCATTCATGATCTGTTGTTTTGAGCAACATTTAAATATTTGGAGCCAAGCTGTTTCTTTCTGCTGATACATGGAAAATGTTATAGCTTTGATGTAAAACCAAAGATACTATCTTAATTATTTCCATGTCGATGCAATCTAAGGTGTTGTCCTGTAGGCAACATCATGATCTAATTGTTATTAAAGGATGCTCTTTTGTTTGAGAGCTTGGGCTACTAACTAAGAGGTCTTGGGTTCGAGTCTTGTGGACTTGATAGTATAAGCTTTCAGCCAATAGAAAATATTAGAAATGATCTTTCTCTATTAGATTTAAACGAGAATTTGACTTTTAATAGGACACAATGGAGAAAAAAGATTCATGTAGTCGACCCGAGGTAGTGGGATAAAGGCTTGTTGTTGTTGTTGTTGTTGTTGTTGTTGTATACTCTCATACCTCATAAAATGAAAAGTTTGAGGCTACTAAATGCATGAAGTGCCACTTTCATTGTAGTTTCCAGCTATGCTTTTTTTTGTTGTATTTTTCTTCTTTATGTCCAAGCCACAGGTTACAAATGTTATAGCATTGATCACTTATCAGTGTTTGTTCTGCATGTATTACTAGTTTTCACAGTATATTTATTTGCCAAATACAAGAAATGCTCACAAGCATACATCAATGTACTACTGCAAATGTCAAAATTTTCAATTAAAACCCTTGACATGCTTGCAGAATATTTTAGGCGACAAAAAGTTCAAAGAAATTCTTGATGTGCTATCATCTGTAGACAATACCATAAGCAATATTTGTAGATTTCTGTAAGTTCACCCTCTAATGTCTTAATGAATCAAAGCCCTCGTATAAGCAAAGCTTATATTGATTTTATGAAATTAATATCATGAGCAGATACCATGCCATAAGTTGGATGCATTTTGAGTCAGGATCGCTGACATTGGATGGCTTCAAAAATGCACTTTCATGTATGCAGAGGCAACCTATGCTCGATAAACTGCAAGGTTAGTGTCGTACTGATGAAGCCTTTTTTGCAATTATTTTGATCTCTTTAGTTTTACTATTACCAAAAAATTTATGCATCAAAGTTTTAGCTAGGCCTATCTTCCACAAGAAAGTTTGTCCTTTTAGGCTTTGCTTGGGGCAACTTTTTTTTTGCTTCTTAAAGCAGCTTTCTAGTATAAAAAATGTAATTTTTGTACTAAAAAGTTGCTTTAAGAAGCAACAAAGAAACCGTCCCAAACGAAGCCTTAATTGTAAACTTGCTTTCATACCCAAATTTCACTGCACTAAAACTAAAACTTGGCATCAGGAAGTTATGTCTAGGCATTTGACAATATGTGAAACTCTGCCTAGCTTGACCCTATACAAATGAGTTAATAGTTTTGCTTAACCCACACCTTTTATATTTAGACGCCCAAAGCTAAATAGACTTTATAGTGACCCATCTGGCTCATGAAGAATATTGGGTTTTGTTCAAGGAATACTAAATCACCAGACCGGCTAAAACCGGCCAAATAGAAACATTATTGGCTTGATTGTTCAAGTCTGGTAGGTTCTTGACATAAGCATAATTCTTTTCCAATCACTAAACTCAATAGGATAGGTGACCATGTTCCCCAATCCAGCTATGGCTCTTCTTAATCAATTCCACGATCCAACAAGTGAGATCCATTCAACATCAGCTCCATCCAAATTTTAATTAGACAAACAACCTAGTAGGTCAATAGTTTCATGACCCATCAGCTTCAACTTGCCCATCAGTTGCATCCCTGCTCTACTTTCCTGACGCAAATTACATTAAACATAAAATCACAGTAAAGATTATAAAAAACTGAAAGATAAGTGGGTTGGTTTCAAAATCATATAGGATTACATGGTCAGTAAACAAATATACCACAGCACCAAATGATTACAAAAGCATAAACTAATGTTTCATTTGGGACAACTTTCTTAATGCTTCTTAAATCAACTTTAGTAAAAAAATAAAATTTTTGTAAAAGAAAGCTGCTTTAAGAAGCAGTAAAAAAAGCCGTCCCAAACGAAGCCTAAATCAAAGTGAGAATTCTACAAATGAAGTTCAAAGTGAAGAATTTGAAGGAAGTTCAAAGTGAAGCATTTGAAAAAAATTTCATTATTTTAACGCCCATGTTTTGGCCTTGCTTTCAATTGCCTGATAATATTTTTGTCCAGGTGCCTCCGTTTTGGAATTCTACATTTTGGTTTGCATGAATAGACTGGGGAGTAGGGAGCAGAATTCATTCAACTTCAATTCCATTATGAAAGGTGGAAAATAATTCTCATTTCACTTCCCGCTATGGTTTCTACACATAATTGGTTTCCATGGCTTCGTTTGGGGCGGGTTTTGTAGTGCTTCTTGAAGTAGCTTTTTAGTACAAAAATTTTATTTTTTATATTAAAAAACTGCTTCAAGAAGCAATTAAAAAACCGTCCCAAATGAAACCTAAGACATCTCAGCAAATTCTTTCAATGGCAGAGTACAAGGCCATACAAGATGCCTACAAGACTTCTGATAACTATTCATGGAGTGTTTGTCTAAGGGTGAGTATAATAAACCCTTAAATACTAAAAGCTGTTTTCTTCATAACATAAAGCTGATCTTTATCTGCAGGCGTTTGAGCATCTTATAGAACGTGAATTAATTAGCTTTTTAGACAACAGAATGAGAAGTCTGTCTATTGAATACCGTCCTGTGAGGCTTTTGCTGTCTTCGCAAGAACTGCACCAGGGACTCAAATCAAATTCTTTTTGCCCTGTAAGTAACATCAATTACTAAATTCTAACGCTTAAATTACAGTTTTTTTTTAATATTTGTAGGCAAATTTTATTTTCTTGTACTGTTTATGCAATTCTCTCCCTCTTTATTTGAAAAATAAAAACCTCTTTTTTTTATATAGGCCATTTTGCTGAAACTTCTCAACCATGAAAGTTACAGATAACTTTCTGTTTTCCATGAAGTCCATCTCAAATTCTCATCTTGAAATTATAGGAGAGTAGAAGATGAAGCTGGCTGCATCGTTTTCATTCAAATTTTGTAGAATTAATGACTTAGGCGTCGTTTGGGACGACTTTTTTATTGCTTCTTAATTTTTTACTAGAAAACTGCTTTAAGAAGCAGTAAAAAAGCCGTCCCAAACAAAACCTTAGATGTTCCTCTTTTGGCTTCTTCATATAACACCAAGAGGAGCATTTGTTTCAAACCTGTTATGTTTTGATTATTATTAGAATTAATAAGGCCATGTTGATGCAGGGTCCTTTTATAATTCAGAATTCCTTTTTCAGAAATATTATTTCTTATGCTATCTAGCCTAATCTTGGAACATTTTATGTGAAGCTTTTTATTATTATTATTATTTAAAGCTTGTTAGAGCATAGTGGACCTTAATTTCCTAGTTGGCAAATTGGCAGCTTTTAATAAATCTGCTTAAGAAAATACTAGCCTTCAGATCCTTTTTGGGTGAGAGTTTATAAAGGAAAATGGTTAATAATTTGAATCAGTTTTTTTTTAATAATTTATTTTGAGGCGAGCAAAATTTAAATTGTGGAATTATCAGTTTTTTTTTTTTTTTTGAAACCTTAAAAGGCCTTTGGTTGTTTGCTTTTAGCAACGATTCTTTGATTGCTATAAAATGTGTGTTATCTTAAGGCGTAAGATTTATGTGGGGTATTTTTTCACAAAATTGTATTGCTATAATTTTATTATTATTATTATTATTTAATTTTTATTAGTGAGAAATAACTTCTAACAATTAGATCTGTTATAGCATATATATTTATAAGAAAAATAATCAATTTTTTTTATAAAATTATTTTTAGAAAAATTATTTTTTAATTGCCACAATAATTTAGAAAAAAAATATTTTTCCGATAATAATTATTTAACTATTTTTACAAATAGGGCTCTCAGGCATGTTTGAGAGTAATTGTTGCTTTAGATTATTTTTTATATATTTGGGTGAGGGATGAATTAATGATTATTTATGCCAAAAGCATATGAATAAACATCTATAATGTTTCAACTAAAAATCTTGCACTCAAACGCGAACAATGATTATATATTCCATTTTTCATTCCAAAACGTAATAAAATGTTTAAATGCAATAATCCATCTCCAATTGAATTTCATTTTTTTTTCTCTTTCACTTCTTCTTCATATTGCTGCGAAAGTAATTATCTTTCTCCTTGCTTTGGCAACCCGTAACACAAATTTTGGAGTATGTGAACAGTGTGATACCAATATTAGCGTCGCAGTGTTCACCTACAAAATTTTGATGTGAGATTTAACGTTCGAATGAAGAGAATGATAGACAACATACCACCGCATGCAATTTGGTTGGAGATAATGTACTCAATTACTTCTGCCCCCATTCAAATATAATTAAACTATGATACACGCAACTCATCTTGGCTTGTTTGTTGGGAGTTTTGGCTACCAACTAAATGTGTATGAATTTATTTTAATTAACCTAAATGTTCCTAAAAAAACAAACTATAGTATAGCTTTGATGCTCATTCATACATATTGATATATACATATATGTTAACAACGAAATGGTACAGAAATAAACAAAAATTAAAATAAACTAATTAAATATTAATAATAAATTTCAATATTTTGATATAAATTAAAAAATTGGAGGTAAAAGAATATTAGCTTTGCAAATAATCGAAATTTCCTTAACGTGTATTAAACTACCCGAAAAGTTTTTGCAGACCAGCAAGGCCTTGATTGCAAGGATGAACAGGTGAAATCTATGATTTCAGAGGGGGCTTCATAAGAATAAAGTATTTGAACAGAAATGATTGATCTTAAAAACAGGGATGGAGACAATGTATAAAAGTTAACACAAAGCACGCTGATTTTACTGGAAATCACAGATCATGACTTTGACTGTAAACAATTGTGTGTCTTTCACAAAATGGGAAAATACTATGAGGAGGAAATAGAGACTGATTTTTCACAAAATTGTATTGCTATAATTTTATTATTATTATTATTATTTAATTTTTATTAGTGAGAAATAACTTCTAACAATTAGATCTGTTATAGCATATATATTTATAAGAAAAATAATCAATTTTTTTTATAAAATTATTTTTAGATAGCCACAATAATTTAGAAAAAAAAATATTTTTCCGATAATAATTATTTAACTATTTTTACAAATAAGGCTCCCAGGCATGTTTGAGAGTAATTGTTGCTTCAGATTATTTTTTATATATTTGGGTGAGGGATGAATTAATGATTATCTATGCCAAAAGCATATGAAGAAACATCTATAATGTTTCAACTAAAAATCTTGCACTCAAACGTGAACAATGATTATATGTTCCATTTTTCATTCCAAAACGTAATAAAACGTTAAAATGCAATAATTCATCTCCAATTGAATTTCATTTCTTTTTTCTCTTTCACTTCTTCTTCATCTTGCTGCGAAGGTAATTATCTTTCTCCTCTTTCCGTAACATAAAAATTTTGGAGTATATGAACAGTGTGATCCCAATGTTAGCGTCGCACTGTTCACCTACAAAATTTTGGCGTGAGATTTAATGTTTGAATGAAGAGAATGATAGACAACATACCACCGCATACGATTTGGTTGGATATAATGTCCTCAGTTACTTCTGCCCCCATTCATACATTCAAATATAATTAAACTATAATACACGCAGCTCATCTTGATTTGTTTGTTGGGAGTTTTGGCTACCAACTAAATGTGTATGAGTTTGTCTTAATTAACCTAAATGTTCCTAAAAAAACAAACTATAGTACAACTTTGATGCTCATTCATACATATTGATATATACATATATGTTAACAATGAAATGGTACAGAAATAAACAAAAATTAAAATAAACTAATTAAATATTAATTATAAATTTCAATATTTTGATATAAATTAAAAAATTGGAGGTAAAAGAATATTAACTTTGCAAATAATCGAAATTTCCTTAACGTGTATTAAACTACCCGAAAAGTTTTTGCAGACCAGCAAGGCCTTGATTGCAAGGATGGACAGGTGAAATCTATGATTTCAGAGGGGGCTTCATAAGAATAAACTATTTGAACAGAAATGATTGATCTTAAAAACAGGGATGGAGACAATGTATAAAAGTTAACACAAAGCACGCTGATTTTACTGGAAATCACAGATCATGACTTTGACTGTAAACAATTGTGTGTCTTTCACAAAATGGGAAAATACTATGAGGAGGAAATAGAGACTGAGAATGGAGCCAAAATCTATTATTTACTGGCTATCACAGGACTTGAAGTTCAAAAAATTCTAGTTAAATATTTGATTTCAACAAATTTACATTGGAAAAGACATGCCATGTTCAGCCCCATACAGTGCTAAAAGCCTTGAAAAGTATGTCTTCCGAAGCGTTTAGAGCAGAGAGAGCAGAGTCCACAGAAGTTACAACATGGGAATCAGGATTCTGTCATTCAGAGCAGCATAAATAGCCTCTAACTCATAGATCCAGTTGTCCTGAGGAAAGCCTGGATCACCAAAAAATTGATTGCGAATAGTATTATGTTAAAGAAATTTTAACTTCGTTTGGGACGACTTTTTTTGGCTTCTTAAATAGGGAGTTTTAATGTAAAAATTAAAAATTTTATACTAAAACGTTATTTAAGAAGCAGTAAAACAGCTGTCCCAAACAAAGTCTTTGTTAAAACTTGAGAAATATCGTACATAGGTTAACAAAAAATTGATGAGAGAAGGTATTGTGATTACCGATTTGGTTGCATCGAGAGACTGACGCTGCCTAATCCTTTTCTCCCTTTGGCATTCGCCACACCAGCTGGAGAAATCCTGCTGATACTTCTTCATTTCTCTAAAAACCGAGCTACACAGATTCATCAACAAAATGCTTGGTTAAAATATGATTATAAATAACTATAAGTTGTATGATTGAAGTATAAAAAATAATTATATTGCGCAAAAAAAAAAAAAAAAAAAAAAAAAAAGCTGGGGATTCAAATAGTAGGATTCAAGTTATAGGTAGTTCTACAGAAAGAAGCCACCAAGATGCATGTAAGGTGTGCAGAATAAAGTTATGATCAACAACAGGACATAAAAAAGTTTAAAGTAGGTGAGATATTGTCAATTAATATGGATAAATGATAAGGTTACTCTATCCGCCAGAAAAGTACATTTCCTCGGATTGGCGAACAATTGTTCTTTCCTCAGGATTTCACAGACTTGTTTGATGTGTTCTCGACGTTGTTCAGCCGAATTGTTGTAGATTAAAATGTCATTAAAGTACACTACCACAAATTTTCCCAGAAAAGGATGGACTTGAGTCATAACCCTCATGAATGTGCTAAGTGCATTGCTAAGGCCAAAATGTATGACCATCCATTCATACAAACCATCTTTGATTTTGAATGCAGCCTTCCATTCATCATCCGGACGGATCATAATTTAGTGGCAACCACTTTTAAGGTCAATTTTAAAAATAGGGTGGCTCCTGTTATCATGTCTAGCATATCATCCAAGCGAGGGATGGGGAAATAGTACTTCACTATGATCTTATTGATAGTACGGCTATTAACACACATCCTCCAAGTGCCATCTTTCTTGGGGGTTAAAAGTCCTGGCATGGCACATGGCTCATACTCTTCTTAATGAATTCTCGATGGAGTAAGTCATCAACTTGCCGTTTAAGCTCGGCGTGCTCTTAAGGATTCATACGATAGTGAGGAAGGTTGGGTAGGGATGGTCCAGGTACCAGGTCAATAACGTGTTGGATGTCTCTCAAAGGTGAGAGATGATTAGACAAATCGTTAGGGAACATATTAGTGAAATCATCCAGGAGAAGTATGACCTCTTTAGGGGCTGTTCCTCCACTTCTTTGATTACCAATTGAGCTACTAAAGTGTATATGGGTAACCTATGAGTCAGTTCAATATCCAGCTCTTTAGCGATGAGGATATTGAGTCCCTTGTTTGGTTTGATTGGAGTGGGTTTAGGCTCATCCTTAGAGGATTTAGGTTGGAAAGGTAATAGCTTAATTTTCTTACCATCATGTGCGAACACATAGATGTTCGACCTTCCATAAATATGAACGTTATTGTCAAACAACCAAGGACAACCAAGGATAGTTTGAACAACATCCATAATCAAGACATTACACCAAATCTTTTCTTTATATCCCGCAAACTCAATGTTGCTATTATATGTTGGGTACTTAGTGCCTATCTCACGATTAACTTTAATTGAAAGTTCTCTCTCATTATCGGAAGGAACAATTAACTATAGGAGCTTGCGCCTATAGGAAACTAGAACTCAAATCATAAAATCCTCACAAAACGAGGGCGAAATCTCTAGGTAGTGTCATATCTAAAATTCAACATGTGCTTCTGAAAATTTACGTGGAATTTAAATATGTTAGAACTCTCCTTGTCAACAAAAGAAGGTGCGGAGAGGCCGAGGTGTGAATTTTAGGAGCCCACGGTTCTCATCGCACGTGCTCAAATCGACCGTAAAATACATATGGAGGTCAACTACATTAAACCCACTTCCATTACAAAAGAAGGGGCTTATAAACTTTAGAAATTGTTGAAGCCTACCTCTCCTATCTTCCATCAGAGCTTGGCATAATTACAATGTTGATCCAATAAGAATTTACTTCTAGAGAACCCATTGTTAATAACCACAAATACACAATAATTATAAGGCCACACATTCTTTTGCACCGACTCAACACCTACATTGATTTACTAGTTCAAATTGATTTATATTGCTTGAAAACTAAAGGACTTGGGATTACATCATAAACGTGAATACGTGAAGAGAAAAATTTAAATCATACCATCTATGTTCACTCATACTTTGAAATTAGATACCTTTTTTCATTTTCTTCATGGTAGGTGTGGGAGAAATATAAACAAGGCAGCTATTTTGGAACATCTACTCTCACGTGACATAAATTGAATTACAACAAAAGAACGGGGCAAATGGTTCGAGAAGAAAAGAGAGAAAAACAACCAATGGTTACCTTCTGCACCACAAAAGCAAATTGATCCGGTAACCAGATGTTGTAGGACGGGCACCGTGACGATGGCGACCACGGTGAAGTATAGCTTGACCAGGGACATGAGAATACTCTAATATTTCCTGTAAATAAAGCATGTGATCAGAATCAAGCACTATAACTTTTACGATATTCCAAATTATAAACTAGCTGAAAGCAATGAATTAAACAACAAAGAGAACCAACCATAGAAAGAAAAGAAAACTTATGTGCATGAAAAATGTTTACACAAGAAAGGGAAAAGCTATCACAGATCAGCAAATAACAAAGAGATTCACAGAAGCTCCAAAAAAATCAGCCACACTTGGCTAGTTGAATCACACCTGCAATTTTCCAGTCATGGTATCATTTATCCTGTGATTTTTAGCTAGGTTTACACATTAGAAAGAATAGAAAAATATCACTCAGCTGATGCATTTCAAAGATTCGATGAAAAATAATGATTTTAAGTCGGTTACAAAGGTTTTACATAGAAATTAGGACAATATTTTTTCAATAATAATGATATAAACAATGGAATTAGGAAGATCTCAATGCCCAAGTTAGCAAAAGCCAAAATAAAGTGTTGAATGTTTTGAATTGTATCTTTCACCTGAACACCTGTTGAATATGATGATAATGATATCTGAGAATCATTTTATATCGACTACAGTTCATGAGATACTTTGCTTTACAAGTGAAAATAAATTCAGGATTGATAATAAATAACTAAAGAAGCCAAGGAAATTTGCTCCTACAACCACAAATATCGGAAAAAACCCATAAATACTCATCTATTACCAAGCAAAATAAATAAATAAAAACATTTTACTTTTTCTACGCATGTATCCGATTTTGACAGTTATTAAGACAATTATAAGATTTATTCAGAAGCGGCGCCGATTTCAGCTGGATTTCGGGGATGCCTTCGACGGATACGAGGTACGGAGCGGGATTTGCGGAAGCGACTCTGTCAGCGGGATTCTTGGATCCGATAGGTTCCTGGTATGATTTTGAGTCCTCATTTTTTCTTCTTTGGGTATAACACTAAGGTCAACAAGAGAGAAAGGAGGCTTCCTAAAAAAAAGGAAGAAACTATACACAGTATATTGTTGAAGATATATCTTTGTATTGAAATCTAGTTTTGCCTTCATAAGATCTCTTGAATTTTGATTATTCAAATGCCAATGGATTCCATGCGAGAGGTGTAGTATTGGCAGTGATTGGTGTGCAACAATAATCAACATTAACAAATTGATTGGATAGAATGGATTATGTACGTTTATTATCTTATTGCATGTGGCATGTACCACTTAATTATTGATCCGACTATGATCACACACACAGTGCATGTTCATGTTTGCGTGCATGATTAGATTAATATTGAGATGATAATATTATATGATAAGAGAAGATGTTGCATGATACGCATAAAAGCATTCATACATGGGGAACATTAGTTATTTGCATCTCTAACAAGGATATTAAGGCCATAAATAGATGCTTTCATGAGTGTCCGGGAGATCGATTCCATCGGCAAAGTTCTTGATTGTGGGCTCCGAAAATTCTACCCCGACCTCCACTCGCTTTTCTTATTCGGCGAGGGAGTTTTAACAAACTAAGTTCCGGGGTAAATTTTGGAAGGCAGATGGGTTTGTAGATAAGACACTACCCAGAGATTTCGCCCTCATTTTGCGAGGACTTTATGATCTGAGTTCTGGTTTCCTATAGGCGCAAGCCCCTATAGTTAATTACCCCTCCCGATAACGAGAGAGAACTTTCGATTAAGGCTAGTCGTCAATCAGATACGTATAGAAATACGTGTTATCTGGCATATAGTAGCAGCAATAGATTGAATTAACCTATCATTAATTATAAGCATTTAATTAAAACTAATTATAATTAATTATATTAAGTATAATTAATTAAAATATTATAATTAAAATTAATTAAAGTTAATTTAATTAAAATAAATTAAACCCTCTCCCTCTACCCTCTCTGTTTCGTTCAGGAGATTTACTGGATTTGGCCGAGCAAGCGAGCGAAGGGGAGAAAGTTACCTTCACTGTCGGCGAGCTCTTGCTCTCGGCTCCGATCAAAATGCCGTAACTTCCGATCCTTCAGCCAGAGGTGGCGTTGGGCAAGGTCGGACAGCCAGGAAGGAGCCGAAGAAACGCACGGAAGGGAGAAAGTTATCTTCACAGCCGTGCGAGCTCCCGTCTGTTGCTTCCGATCGGCTGGAAGGGGAAATCGTCGCTGGAGCGAGGTTGAGAGAGGAATGAGGGAGAGTGAGAGAGCTCGGGGTGGAGATCAGGGCTTCGACGTCAGCTCGAGGTCGGGAGAGGAAGAAGTTCGGATGGCTGAGGGGATCGACCGGAGCAGGCGACAGGTTCGGGAGCTCCTGCAATCGAGTGGGATCTGCGAATGGGAGAGAGAGTTGAGATCCAGTGAGTGCCGAAGCTCTCACTTGGTCCTGTATTTAACGGCAACTTGGGCGTTCGATCGAGGAGAGATCACCGATTTTGAGCAGGATTTCACGGGATTTGATCGGTTCGGCAATCTGAGGTACGCGATGTCTCAACTGGATTCGCGGGACTTGATCGCAAATCAGAGCAGGTCGCAGGATTTCGGAGATCCTTCGACAGTCCGAGGTATGCGGGATATCCGGCAATATTCGTGGATCCACTGGTCTCTCTCTCGTTCTCCTTTGGTTTCTTTTACAGAGGTCAACATTGATCTATTAGTGATGCTAAGCTTCATTATCTAAGTGGCATGTTGAGTTAATACATAATGATTATGGTTATTGAGTTATGAGGATGTTTGACCTATAGGTGCAAATGTTGGGGTTCTTATTGATAGGTGATTCCTTTAGGGAATTAGCAAAACAATCGGGCACGTATAGATGACTTCTATTGTGATAACTGGAAACGCAAATCCAAAACCACGGAGCGTGTATAGGAACATGGTTTGTGTGATCCCATTGAGCCGATTGGTGACTTTCCAGAAATGCCAACGTGCCATTGACTCATTGATGCTCAAGCTCTATAACTTGCCAACTTGATAGCATAAATATGATTATTGATTACTATTTATTATGATCACCACACCAGCTAGTGTGTCTATATGACAAGAGAGGTAGATGACTTGATTTTGGAAGTGCATTCTAATAGTTGGGCATACTGTCCATAGGCATGTCATTCAAGCTTGATGTTTATAAATATTCTTTTATCTTTCAGGCATATTAGTCAGCGATGGTGATTGGTGATAAGAAGCAGATTTCTGAGCTAGTCCTTAGTCTCAGTCATTACAGGTAGGACAACTTTTACTAAGTTGTCATTCGATTATCTCTTCATTATTATTTTTAGGTCATCATCATGGAGTTGTGAATTGGTTTGTGATTGGAAAATCCTATAAGAATAGCGCAATATAAGATTAGTAAGGTAAATTTAATTACAGTTATTTCTGCTCTATGTTCTTCCAATGTTATATTAATTAAAGTGGAGCGTAAATTATACATGTTTCAGAGGTGTACAATAATGATACATAGCCAAAATTTTCAATTAATACTCGTAAATAACAAGGGTTATTTACATTTTTTGGGAGGTCTTTTTTTAAGCATTCTAAAAATAGGATCGCAAAGTATATCTGAAATGACCAAATTGAAAGTTTGTCCTTTTAATCGTGAACTTGCATTCATGCCCAAATTTCACTGCACTAAAACTAAAACTTGGCATCAGGAAGTTATGTCTAGGCATTTGACAATATGTGAAACTCTGCCTAGCTTGACCCAACATAAATGAGTTAATAGTTTTGCTCAATTCAAAGTTTTGCTCAATTCAAACCTTTTATATTTAGACGCCCAAAGTTAAATAGACTTTCTAGTGACCCATCCGGCTCATGAAGAATATTGGGTTTTGTTCAAGGCATACTAAATCAACGGTCCGGCTAAATAGAAACACTATTGGCTTGATTGTTCGAGTCTGGTAGGTTCTTGGCATAAGCCTAATTCTTTTCCAATCACTAAACTCAATAGGATAGGTGACCAAGTTCCCCAGCCCAGCTATGGCTCCTCCTAATCAACTCCACGATCCAACAAGTGAGAACCATTCAACATCAGCCCCATCCAAACTTTAATTAGACAAACAACCTAGTAGGTCAATAGTTTCATGACCCATCAGCTTCAACTTGCACATCAGCTGCATCCCTGCTCTACTTTCCCAAAGCAAATTACATTAAAATAAAATCACAGTAAAGATTAGAAAAAGCTGAAAGATAAGAGGGTGGGTTGATTTCAAAATCATAAGGGTTACATGGTCAGTTAACAAATATCCTAGAGCATCAAATGATTACAAAAGCATAAACTAAATCAAAGTGAGAATTCTAAAAATGAAGTTCAAAGTGAAGTTTCTAGAAGTTGAAGGGAAAAGTGGCATATGCAGAGGAAATGATTACAACATAATATTCTTTTATAAATAATTTCCATAAAAAAAACGTTTTCTTCAGTTCTGCTTATAGCAAATGAGTTATCTTTTAGTAATTGTGCGTTTGTTATAGGAAGTGGATGCACTTTTTCTCGGAATTAGCAAACGACAATAAAAAATTAGGAAGAAAACACACCAAACCTATTTTTATTACAACATATATGAAAGAAAATAGCAATATACAGTGAGATTTTCAATTCGAGAGGAAGATCCGGCTCTCCCAAATCCCTAGCTTCCAGCTAGAGCCCAAATAACCTAAGAAATTCAGCAAACTCCAAACATAATTTGAAATCATCTCATAGTTAGCCTTAAATAGACTCCCATAATTCCCTCCCAAATTAGCCTCAAATTAGATTTACTTTCATAATTAATTCCCTCCCAATTATAATTAAGACTTTCCTAAACAATCCCCCTTAATTCCTCATTTTTCCTAAATAATTCCCTCTTAGATTTTGAATTCAAATTAGATCTCTTGCCCTAAACAATTCCCTCCAAATATAATTAACAATTTTCCTAAACAATTACCCTTTGATTAAGAACCTTCATAAATAGTTCCCTCTTAATTAGGGAACTTCTTAATTCCCTCCCAATCAAATCGACTGGTCTATCAATACTCCCCTCCCAAAGTGCCACCTTGTTCTCAATCAGACTGAAAACGGTTGTTGAAGCACTGGACTAATATCACCAGACTGAAAAATGGAATGTCACTAGATCGAGTGATTCCTGCCTCCAACAACTCCTTGATCAATCTCTCCATCTCATCAGAATGGTCCAGACGAACACTGATATCTGAGACTCCATCCTTCCAAAAGACAACATGCTTGTGTTCCCGCGGAGGAAGCAACCCATGAACTGGCTGGAACACTTCTCGATATTCCTGTAAGAGTGGCTGAACCATGTTTGGTGCTTCTATCTTCTCCCCAAAAAATTTTCATCCTAGGGTCTCTCATTTTCTTGTCCGATCAATGATGCTTTCACCTCCGATGTTGTCGGTTTGGTTTGGCCCTCAAGAAGCTTCTTTATCATCTCCTCTATGATGGCAAATTTCTCATCAATCTTCTTATGGATGGCTAAAAATAGCTTTTTGAAACCTAAAATCTTTACAAAATCATATTTCAATTGTCTGGTCTCTTCTTCCAACATTTCTATCTTTCTTACCGCCATAGGTACCCGGATCGTGCTCTAATACCAATTTGATAGGAAGTGGATGCACTTTTCCTTGAAATCAGTGAACGACAATAAAAAATTAGGAGGAAAAACACATCAAAACTATTTTTATTAGAAGATATATGAAAGAAAATAGCAAGATACAGTTGGATCTTCAATTAGAGAGGAAGATCCGGCTCTCCCAAATCCCTAGCTTCTGGCTAGAGCCCAAATAACCTAAGAAATTCTAATTTCAGCAAACTCCAAACATAATCCTGAAACCATCATAATGTTAGCCTTAAATAGGCTCCCATAATTTCCTCTCAAATCAGCCCCCTTTTCCTAAATAACTCTCTCTCTCAAATTTGAATTCAAATTAGATTTATTTCCCTAATTAATTCCCTCTCAATTATACTTAAAACTTTCCTAAATAATCCCCCTTAATTCCTCCTCTTTCCTAAATAATTCATTCTTATATTTTGAATTCAAATTAGATCTTTCATCTTTTGCCCTAAATAATTCCTTCCCAATTCTAATTAAAACATTCATAAACAATTTCCCTTTGATAAAGAACCTTCCTAAATAGTTCCCTCTTAATTAGGAAACTTCCTAATTCCCTCCCAATCAAATCAGCCGGTCTATCAGTTTGGCATGATGATATGGACAATTCAAATATTGAGTCTATTAGGAAACATAGGTGAAAAATAGTTTTAACGTTTTGCACCTTGGATTAGCTTTCACATAAAAACGAGCACAAATGCATGTGGTGAATGCCCACTATGTGGGCATATAAAATTTAATGCAAATGATGGTCTTCAACAATAGTAAAACATGTAATCAATAAACCTCAGGTTGAGTTTCTGAGTTGACATGCTGGTCGCATCTGACACCTCGAAAAAATAATTCTCCACCTGAAAATTGCTTACCCAAACACACATTTAAAGTAACTTCTGAATCATCCACATGAAAATCTGCAAAAGAGTGAAATGTTCAGAAAATAACAGTCTGCACATTGAGGAACATAAAACTTGGGCTAACAAGAAAGAAATAATGGTACCACGGCATGAAATGCAAACAGTGGCATGGCATTAGAACCAATGTAAGATAATAAAAACATCATATTTTGCTGCTGCCATCAGCATAGTATGAGAAATGTTTACAATATGTCAATACTGTTTAGAGTCGCATGTCACTGAGCATGCACTCAAAAAAAGAGCAAGCCTAGGGGTTGGATAACCATGCGACAGGTTGTGAAAACATTTTGAATCCTTTACATTAGCTAACATTAATTAAGTAAATATTTTAGCTTCGTCGTCCCTCAACAAGTTTAAATTTGTGTGCCTCCATCAGATAAATCTGAAAACCAACAAGGGAAATCAAATTATAAGAAATTTAAGGAAAATATTATGCATGTACACTTAAATATTTTGAGAGGCTATCATTGTTAGTAATGCAAAATTTGTCACAGCCGTTTTTTGGAGTTTCAATCCTAATTATGTCAGCAGAGTTGGAGTTTGTAATTTGGCCAGATGGTGATGTTTGAATCAGTATTTAACAAATACTAACTATTTTCTAAAATATTGTGTGCATTTAATTCACTTAGATGGTTCGGTTTACAAATTAGTTAAACCAATAGGTTACAATGATAAAATTTAGAAAATCAAACCGACCAAATTATTTTTCTAATAACCAAACTTTAGTTTCGTTAGTTTAATTTATTTTTGGATGACAAAAATAAAAAATAATTTTAATAAGAAACCTAGTTATCTGTAACTCAAATAGCATATTTTAAAAACAATAGTAAAAATATTTTTCAAGAATTTATATAACTTCAACTAGTAGAATAAAAAATATTCATGTTGATTTTTCTCTTTTTTTATTTACAATTTATGAACTTTATTGATTTAATATTTTAAGATATTAGAAAAATATATATTTTAAGATATTAGCATAATTCAACTTTTTGTTTGAGGGGCTTTACAAAAGCAAAATATAGACTAATAACCAAAAATTAAAAAAAGAAAAACAAAATTACAACCAATTACCAAATCAATAACAACCAAACCAAACCAATCAAACAAGATTGGCTTGATTTTATTTTTCGATTTTATCCAAACAAGGCACACCCATATTAGCTTTCATAAATTTCTAAACATGCCTTTGATGAGTTGGAGCATTCAAGGTATGATTTGATGCATTGACAAGAAATTTCTGCTTAATAGGACTTTTGGCTACAACAACTTTGTGGGAAGTTGTGGAGCCTCCTATTGAGCTTTCCATCATGAATTTCCTTTTCACCATCATATTGCGTCACAGATGCATTTTAGCTGCACAATGATTTTATTTGACGTGGAGATTTGTCGATAATTTTGTTGGGACCTGTTGCATGGAATCCTTATTCATGGTTTCTATTTCATTGCAACACCAAGAGTTCCTTTGCATGAGCGTATGTACGGTTTTTATTTACTGAGTTACTATTTCACGGGTGCTTTAGGCCCTAAGTAGTATAACCATCTCCTCAAAAAATATGGCTAATACTTTATGGCATGAATAAAATTTTTAAATTGAATACAATACCACCTTCATTTATTCGAATATGTGGATCCTCAACCAATCGTTAAACCTAAAAACTTTCTAGATAAGTAATCTTCTTGGTCAAGCCCGAGGCTTGCTAATTTGTCTTCTCCATTTCTCCTTTTCTTCTATTTCTAATATGTCATGACTAATTGAAAATGAGCATTGCTTTTTTTTTTTTGCTAATCTATTACATTACTAGTTTCTTTCTGTGCTCAGATATGCATTAACTGAGATACTTTGTATGAAACCTAATTCTTATGATTAATTTCTACTAGGAGAAAAAAAAATCTTTTCAATGCCAATTGGATTTTATATAATTCCCTATGAGTTATCAGTAGTGGAAAATAATGATTTTTGTTAGATTATTTGCTTCACAAAAAAAAAATTATTTCATTAAGGGGTTGTTTGGATGGCTTAAAAAAGGAATGCAGCGTAAAAGGAACATTTTGGAGTTGTTTAGATGAGTGTAAAGTAAATTCAGGTGAATTATTATTTTTTATTTTTTATTTTTTTTTTGTTTGAAGTAAAATGAATGTAGTGTAAAGTTTTAAAAAGACGGTTGACGGTGGGTGACAGCGGCGGTCGATGTTCGGCGGTGGTGGTGGGTAGTCGGCGGCCAGCGGCTGGTGCGGTGGCCACCAGTGGTGGCCTAAGGCTAGTGGAGGTGGCCTGAGGTGGTGGCCGGCGACGGTCAAGCGAGCTTGCTTGCTGTGTGATAAAATGTCAACTTACACATAAAATTTTCTCTTAAAATGTAAAGCCCAACATAGGATAGACTGCGGTTGTCTCTGAACTTCTCAGAATCCGACACCTCCTACTTTTTCTCATTTGACTCGTTAACTCTCGCTCAAAACTGGGCAAGCTTTGTTTTACCTAAAAAATGAACTATAATGATTTACACTATATTTATTATACTTTGAATTCCTTTATCATTCAAAGTATTCCAACCAAACACCAAATTTTTCTGCATTTGGAATCCTTTACATCCTAAAGTATTCCAACCAAATAGCCCCAAAATTATTTGCATGCATGAAAAGAAACTTTTCATATCGATTAATTTGATCTAGCCTTTGCATTAGAAATTTTTAATAACAAAATCTATCAATCTAAATATCAAAGCTAAAGGTTGTAATAAAATTTCTACTAGAAGTGGGACCAAATAGCAGGGTCATTTAACAAATAAACAAAGGGATGCAATTTCACGAATCCAAAAAATAATTAATTGAAATACAACTTAATCAAGAAAAACCAGGAATTGACATATTAGATTAAAGGTCTTAAATACTACAAAGAGTTTGACTACAACCAACAGTCCTAAAAAGTTTGCACTAAATGAATAAGCTGATTTAATCATACGGAAGAGCTTGTTAATTTGAATGTTAAGTTTACATTAATGGCCCACATTCTAATAAAAAATATTTAAAAAAAAATACACATGTCAAGTACATATTGATGATAAAATAAAGCAGCTAAACATAGAAGCACCAACATGTGATAGAATAATAGATCAAAATGCTTTTTCTAAGGTTGGCAATATGGTTTTCTTGAATGGTGAATTATGTCAGATGAGCATTAAATTAGATTTGCTAAACAAATAATCTAGATAAGCTAAAATGGATTAGATTAGTTTCGCTAAAAAGGGGCAAGATTTGGTAAAGAACTTAGATTTGGTTAGGAAAAAATAATAGCATCACTTCACGAAAGAATATCCTCCATTATCGTATTATCGTAATTTGTTTGATGAATTCAATACATCTAAACAAAGAATGAAATCCATTAACGAATATATCAACAAACTAAAAGAATTATTATTCACTTTGGAACTATGTAAGTTACATTAAGAAGTCATTCAATGTCTAGGCCAGGATTGAGTTCTGATATTAAGAAAAATAACACCAAATACTAAATATTGAATATGCTTTCAATCTTTCAATTTTGAACAAATATTGAGAAATCCTAAATGATAGAACACAGAAACAGAAGACAGAAGTTCTGCCTTACGTTCAGCACACAAACACAAAATTGTGGCAACTACTGTGTGTCAGTAACGCCAAACTTAATAAAGATAATGAATGAAAACCTAACGCAAGTACAACTGGATCTCAGATTTCTACTAAAGCATGTTTTAAGCTTCATCATTTTGTGAATGAATATGCAAGCAACAGCTGACATATTAATATGTTAGATGAATAAGATTTTAAAAAAAAAAAAAGAATAATGTAGAGGATATCAGGATACATTCGGGAATTTCAAGAAACAAGTGATTCTCAAGATACTTTATTGTATCATTCTTCAATGCTATAGTACGAATTATTGCTGGACCTAAAAACCAAATTTGAATGGAGAAGAACTTTCACACTTCAAAATTACTTTCAAAAAGGAGATACAATATATAAGCTTATCATAGACAATGGCAGATGCATCAATGTCGTAGTTACATTAACTATAGAAAGTAACTCAAACCCAAACTGCATTCACAACCTTATAAAATAGCACGGAAGTTAAAAATTTACAAAAATACTTGGTTCCAATTCAACTTGCTACGTATAACTAATGTATAAGGGGTGATATAAACCCACAGATACAGGACATTAATTTGGGATGCACATTGCAATAGTTTAAATCCTACTCATTTTTTTAAATCTAAAACTTATGTGTTCAAAAGAAATGGAGGAAGAGTCATTACAAAACCTACTAAACCTAAAGATAATTCTATCTTATCTACAAATGAATCAGGTAGACCTAATAAACCAAGAAATTCCTTGCATATCATAAGGGGTGATTCATATCTTGTCTACAAATGAGTCATTACGAAGATTGTTCGTGCGTGATCTGAAGGCAGAAATTTCCCTCTCATTTTTTCCTTCATTCTTTCCCAGTTTTGAATTTTTTCTTTCCCTCACCTTTGTCTATTATTTTGAAGATTTTTCCACCAAGTAAGTGCATGACCATTGAGTTTTAAGTTTATAAATTTGACTTTCCTGTTATCTGGTATTTCTTTTCATTCAAAAAACTAATCCATTTTTTCTACCCACTCGATGAATTGGTCGAGTTGAAGTTTACCTTCGAAGTTATGGACATCAATTTTAATCCCATAATACCAATTTCGTTGTCGCCTATTTTGGTTTCTAGGAACTTCCTCTTTACTTTCAGAAGTTTGAACATTATGATTGTTGACATTTAGGTTAGCAAGAGTATTAGCCATGTTATTTATTTGATTTTGCAAATCAGCCAACTGTTGCATCATTTGTTGTCAATCCCCTTGATTATTAGCCATTTTAGTTTTCTTAAGAAAAACTCACACCAACCAAGGATTTGCTAACCTGCTCTGATACCATTTTGATGTAGGCAAGAAAATTTGCCTATAAATATAAAATTTGCAAGTCTTCCAAAA